AGATGAAATGAAGCAAGCTTCCAACCCTTTTAGATCATATTTTGAGAACCTTTTAATAATATATCCAAAGAAATCATCTCATCTTTTGTTCCCGTAAAACCAAATATAAGGTGTGCGATTGCTAATTGCGCCATCCAATTCCAACCAAAATGATATCCGCCTAATTAATAAATCTGAAATGTTTAGCAACACGGAATTGTATGGAGGCAACAACCCTTCAGAGACCTGTATCTACATTTCATGCCTGCGCAGTTTTTTAGCGAAACAAACTTTAATTTTTCACGCTTCAGCCTTTTAGCACCAAAGCTAAAGACGCTGTAACTTTGCATTTGTGATGGTACAAAATGTTCAAAGCGTAGTTTGTACTTTCCGTAGTGAAGCGCATCCAAAAAAGCACAATTCATTTCTGCAAAATTTGGTATCGCACCTCTAATTTATGTGTTAACTGTGTTAAAGCTGCATTCTCTCTAGTGACCACCAGAGGGTCCCATAGAAGTCTATAGGAAAATCACTCCACTTCTCTCTGGATTTATTCCCTCTGTAAACATTGTAAACATCAGTTCATGGTCTCAATCTCATGTTTAAGTCTTCTTCAACACACCATGATGTTCATTTTGTAGATTATGATCCAACAAACAACTTCTTCTTTGACTTCCTACATTTTGTGAACAATCGTGTATTAAAAATACGCCTCCTGTGAAATCTCCTCTTAACAAGTTCCCCGACAACAACGAGCTGACGCAGAACAACGGCTGCGGCGGCGCTTTGCAGCGCAGCTGTGACATTGAACGAAAGCGTTAACGCATTAAATCGTCGGCCGTCTCCACTCGGTGACTCGCTGCCGAACCGCCGCTGCCACCGGACGCCGTTGCTAAAACCCTCAAATGACCGTGCACGGACCGGACGGACGCAGGGCGCGTTTGATGCATTTAGCGGGCGCGGCGTGCAGAGGGCCCCATTGATTTCGGAGCAGACGACAAGCGCACGAAGACACAGGCCAACGGGCGAAAACGTGGGGGCCGAATGGAGAATCACGGCTCAACGGATGTTGTTGGTTTGGAGACTGAAATCCTCCAGATGAACTCAACCTCATTACCCGCCGCTGGGTTTGCCGCCACATGCACGTTTCTATCAACAGCTCCGATGTATTTGCAAAGAGGCACGCTATTTATTGAACAAAGTATTCACGAAACGTCACAAATGCCCCCCTACCCCCCCACCCCTCGCTCACTGTGTGGGTGGAACGGCTTCAAAGTTTTTCCTAGGACCTCCAAATGGATGTTTGGCTGCACCACAGAGGACACGCAGAACACAAGCTAAGTGCCGGAGCAGCGGGTGATGCTAACGCGGCGCGACGGGCTCAGTGTGGCGTGAAGCAGAAGAGTGCTGTGCGAGGTGACTTGTGGGACAATGGGGCCGCTTTTCGCAAATAAAACATGAGGGTTTATCCAGAGCCTCCGAGCCGCGGCTCTCGGTTTCTGTCAGGTGTTAGTGGGTCGTGTGTGTGTGTGTGTGTGTGTGTGTGTGTGTGTGTGTGTGTGTGTGTGTGTGATTTAATGCTCCTGAACTGTTTGGATTATCTGCCGGATACAATGACGGGTAACTCAGTGGAACGTACGGCTTTGTGTTAATGCTCTTGTGATTCCTCTTAAGTAGCTTTAACCTTGTTAAAACACATCTTACAGCCTGACAGTATTGTGTGTTTATTTATATTCGGATTGATTTTTACGCCAAGCTAAATAATCAACCACAAGACAACTAGTTTTGATAAAAGAATGGTGTGCTCAGAAACTTGAATTGCACACTTGAATTTAGAATAAAGTGATTATCAACAGGAGGATCACAATTAAACTGTATTTAAAGATATTTAATCAACATTAAAGTTAAACATGATTAAGTGAAGGAGGGTTCAAATCAATTGATCACTGCATAGCAAACCGCCTTTGGTGATAATCAGGAATTTTAAAGAAAAAAATGTTGTATTATATCTGGTGGTTTCAGTCACAATATGAATTTAAAAGGTTATGAGATGATTTTCAGGGAAGGAAACCAGAAAAAAACACTCAGCTTCACAGAATGATGTCTTTTATTTTTTAAAGAACGTTCCTTTTGTCTTTGTCTTTTGCTCTATTTTATTTTGAAAGACAAGTTTGCGTTTTGGTTCCTCTATAATAATTCAAATGAAGCGTTCTTAGAAGTGAAAAGCATCTGATTCTGACTCGACACGTGACAAGTAATATACGATGTGTTAATGGTCTCAAGCTTGTGAAATAGTCATTGAGTAGAATATATATACATATATATATATATATATATATATATATATATATATATATATGCTTACAGGGATAATTGTCTATTTTATTTGTGTGTCGCTCAGTGCAAAGATCATTTAGGATTTATATTGATATTGAATTGAATATAGAAAAAGATCCCTTACAGTGGAGGGAAGATCTTCCTCATTTTGGAGCCAATACAGATATTGTTTTTTACTACATTTTTAGTTTTAAAAAAAGCTTCCGGTTACTTTGCATCTATGACGTCAGTTCAAATGGAGCGTTCAGAAACGATGACGTCATCGCCCTGATCTCGTGCAGCTCCCTGAGGAGAAACAAGGGCTCACTCGCCTCAACGCGGCGCTAAGCAGCGACTCCACAGATGAATAAATAACGAGCTGTCGCTTCACTTTAGTCCGCCACTCAGCGTGCTCTAGTTCTTCTTCTGTGGTGTCTGCGGTGCCGTCGACGAAGCCTTTCATGGCCTCCGAGTGTTTTGGGCCTTTTGTGTCGCCTTTGACCGTAGACGGAAAACATTTTGCACATTTGATTAATTGGTATTTTTAGCGACGGTTTTATTCTCATCCAATTTAATGTGCACGACATCTGGGACCCGCCGACATGTAAAAGACTTTTAATGAGGAGCAGCGTAAAAAAACACCATCTCTTGATAATTTCAGCTCCGAAAGTCCCGGCCTTCAGTATGTAAAGCCTCTGTGTCGACGTTCATGAATTTAGCTGCAAACTACGTCGAGGATTCCTTTGAATCCGCCGTGGAATCAATAAGACACAAGAGACAGCGACTCACTTTTCCTTTTTGACCCTTTGTGTGCGGCGCCCGTCCTTATTTCTTATCGATACTGGTTTAGTTTGTACAGTTGCATTGAAGAAGCAGAGGAGAGACGCAACCAATTACAAATGGTCTTTTATTTTAATTTAATTTGACCTTTATTTAAGGATGACCTGGCCAAGAGGCAGCAGGACGCTCCACACGATGCGTGACACAAACAGCACAGACACAATACGCACGCCTTAAAAACGACATCTGTCGATTACTTTGCATTTCATGGATGAACTGGTTGTTTTCCCTTAAACTCACGCAGAACAAAGACGTTCAATCATGGTTTACGACCGATGCTTTGCGTTGTCGTCTATTCTTTGGAACACAACATGATTACAACTTATGGTCTCGGCCTAAAATGTCTGTTTGTATCTCCTCTCATCGCACAACTCGTTCTCTCTCTACAAGTATATTTATATAATCACCAGCCGGCTCGGTTAGTTGTCACAGAAAACCCAAAACACAGCCGGGTTTGTCTATTTTTAGATCAGACCTCTGAAGAAGTACACTGACAACCCCCCCCCCGCCATTCCTCCCAAAGGTCTGATTGTGTTCCTATACAAAGTCAGGAAGCTGTGCGGCCTTTGAGAGCTGCCCTGTTGAGAGGAAACGCAATGCATGCTGGGATTGCGTCCAGGGCCGAGCCTCAGTACAGAACGCGCCTCTTTCCCTAAAACACACACGATTACTTCTTCTCGTTGTGTTTATTGTCATTGTTGCTCATCTGAACATTGTCATAAGAATTATTGTTGCTGGGTGTGTTGATTTGGACGGAGCGAATAAAGATTTATCACTTTATTCATTCATCACGTGTGTGTGTGTGTGTGTGTGCACGTGCAGGCGTGCGTCGCACAACAGGGAGTCGACGATGAAGGTGAAGCTCTTATGACTAATAGTCCTCACAATTCACTTATTTCACAAATTTAAAAAATGCATATATTTTTTTATCTGATGAAGACATAAATAATAAGCATAACGTATGATATAATACATATAAGTATAGATTAGATTAGATTCAACTTTATTGTCATTGCACAGGGTACAAGTACTGAGGCAACGAAATGCAGTTTAACATCCAACCAGAAGTGCAAAATAGCAAAAAGTGCAGAGTCTGTGCATATGTGTGTGTAATAAGTGAATAAAATATAATATAATAATAATCAAGTTAAATCATAATTATTGTCATTCATGTACCTGTAATAAAAAGTGCAACATTCATAAAATTACCTAAAGTTCCTTTTACATTTCTGAATGATTTGTTGAAACCAACAATGATTTTTGTCAATTTCTCTGTCAATTATTTTCTTAATTGATCGATTTCCTATTCGGTCTATAAAAAATCTGGTATTTCTCATTCCAATTCAGTTTACTGTCAGTTTTATAGAGAAAGAATAATTAAACAGAAGAAGCTGCAATATGAGAATTACAAATTTTCTAATAATTTTCCTAATAATTAAAATATAGGGTTTATATATATAAAGGGGTTAACTCAATCAATTTTTAATTTTTTTAAAAATGAATTAAAATAGATTGTCAGTTTCAAGCAGAATATCCAATATCATAAACAGATAAATTATTATTATTTTTCCAAGTTCATTTTCTTTTTTTTTAATTTTTGAAAGGCAGGTATACCAGCATCATACAAATGTACGTATTCAATATATTATATTTATTCAACATATTATATTGGGGGGCTGCGGCCCCCACACGGACGCGTCCTGCAACAGCTGAGGCGGATCTGCAGCGTGATTACTGCGACATAATTGATGACCTAATTGAAAAGCAGGAGGGGGGAGAGAGACACTCACTCAGCGGACAGGAGAAGGGGGAGAGAGAGAGAGGGAGAGAGAGAGAGAGAGAGAGAGAGAGAGAGAGAGAGAGAGAGAGAGAGAGAGAGAGAGAGAGAGAGAGAGACGCTGCCAATGAGAAAAGTTTACTTGTTCTTCCTGCGCGCAGCTGAGGCGCATCGATGTGAGCGCAGAGGCTTTCTGTTGTTTTACGCGCACGTCTTTCCTCCCCACACGTCTCTCACTCTCACACGCACACGGAGCACAAATCCACCCTCTCACCTTTCTAGTTTTAGCGAGCCGTCCTTGTCTGTTCCCCTTTCTTTATTTTGTCTCCCCCCTTTTTTTCCTCCTTCCGCACCGCCGTTTTCCTCTCCCCCTTTTCTTCTTTTCATGAATGATTCTCTCTCGCAACACTTGCAAGACACCCTCGGACCCCTCTGCGCCCTCGGCCGCGCGCCCTCGCCTCCTCGGCAGCTCCAGACGCCAGCAGGACCCCCCCGGCAGCCTGAGGCGCACTTTGGGGAGGCACCAGTCCACGAGGAGAAGCTTGATCCTGTGCGCCGCCGCCGCAGCAGCCGCAGCTGGAGCCGCCGACATGAGCCTGAAAGCCGACGCGGAGCCGAGCAGCAACGTCTCCATCGAGGAGGAGGTCAGTGCGGGGGGAGGACTGGGGGGGGGGGGAGAAGAACGCGTTTCCGCCGGTTAAAAGGGGCTTTTCGCTCCTCTGGAGGAACCGCTGAGCGCAGGAATCTCCCGACGTGTTTTATTCCTAAAAGTATTTTTTAATTTTATTTTTTTCAAATCCCATTGAAACGTGTTTGATCAGGTGTGACGTAATTAGTGCGCTTACATGAACCAATTAAGTTGGTAAGGCTGTTTGGATAAAATTGTTTCATTGAGGAGACGAGATTCTGGAAGAAATGTAGATTGTACTGTAAGAAAAAATGCTCTTTAAAAACCTGAAATGCAGCTTTGCGTTTGAAATTGTCTAATTTAGAGGAACGTCCACTGGCTGAAGTTCTACCAGGATTGTTGTCATTCCGCTGCCAAACAAAATAAGATGCGTCACAGACGCGTCAGCTTGTTTTTTCCATCGACGATGAGACTTCTGTTTTTGATCAAACTCTTTATAGATTTAATTTAAAACCGATACATGAGATAGTGTTTTGGTTATTTATGTATTTTAAATTGATTTCAATATACGTTTTTTATTATTAGATTTGAAACATTTAATCCCTGATTTAAACTAAGAAGTTGGACTTAAAATGAAACTTGTCAATGCTCGATAAGATTTAAAATATGTTGATTTATTTTCTTTTAAAGCGTGTGTGTGTCCTGCTATATTTCCTTAAATGACTCCTTGAGCGACTGAGGAGCGCTGGGCCCTTTTGTTGCTCCTCCTTTGTTCCATTATCTTTCAAAGACGCGTGTGGCCTCTTGACTTTTCTTTGCCTGGCTTCCTTTTTTTTTCGGGTGTATTTGTATATTTAGTCCCGAGCAAAGTTCAAACCGGAAGTGTGTGTGTGTGTGTGTCTGTGTGTGTGTTGTTGGTAGTTCGCTCCAGTATAAGTCGCCTAAATTTGACCGCTGCGTTTCAGATTGTCTTCGCCGGCTCTGTGCCGCTGCCCGTGCACACTTGAAAAATGCCGGCGTAGGTGAAGGGCCGCGGGTCTGAGGAAGGAAACGGTGTCACGCTGAGCACTGTTGGTCCCATTGTATGTGAGCCCCCCCCCCCCCCGACTGGGAACTAATGGGCCTCCGCACTGTGGCGCTTGTTTCCACGACCACAGCGGACTGCGCGCGGCTGCGGCTGCTCGGCAGGGAACGTCAGGGGCTCTCGAGCGGCACCCTGGGGGCCTCCGTCAGGACGAAGAGCTATTCATGTTCTCCGTTCTGATCCCAGTGGACGATCAGTTTTTATTCTCAGGAAAATGTTAAATACAGAGGGTCACGTAATGTTTGGGCTAGACGTGGTTCCCAACGTGAGGGTCGGGGCCCAGCCGAGGAGTCGCTTGGTGTAACGCAGGGGTCGAGGTGGTTGATGGTAAAACATTTTGCATAAATCAAAATAAAACCTCTGAGGAAACGACCAACGTCAACTTAAGGAAACGGATTTAAGGAAACAGGAAGTTGTGATTTTACTTTAAAGGGCCTCAAGCTTGAAGTTGGAGGCTTGAAGGATCCTTTAATTTTTCTCCAATTCTCAATCAATTTAAAGTCAACCTTTTCAAGCGATTGTGCGTTTTTCTTTGGTTTGTAAGGAACAATGTTGCCCAAGAATTTATGAACCTTCTTCTTCATTCAGCTCAGTTGATTTAGATAAACACAGAATAGAAGCACAACATTAAGGCATCTTTTTGTTTGCAGGTACGAACGCTGTTCGTCAGCGGCCTCCCGGTCGATATCAAACCACGGGAGCTTTATCTTCTCTTCAGACCCTTTAAGGTAAGTGTGTTTTGGGTGATTTGGTGTGTGCAGACTGTGTGACGCCGGGTTTCAGAAGAGTTGTGGAAAGAATCATCTGCACTCGGAGGAAGAGGAGTTAAGGTACCGAGGAAGCCGCTGTAATCCAGTCTGCAGGTTTTCCTTTTCGAGCCACTCTTCATGATTCAGAATTCACACAGGAAGGTTCATTAGCCCCCCCCCCTCCACCCCCCTCCCCGCCTAATGAACGTGCAGATATTTGCATATATGGAAATGAGGCCACATCATTGTTCGTCCACTGGCCCGTTGTTTTACTTTGCTTCTCTCGGGCCGTATTCTGGTTCCATAGACTCCCCTCCCACCCGTGTCCTAACTGGTCAAATTGGGAGAGGTGTCCCTCGCACATGGATGACCTCGTGGAATGTGTAAATGAGTAACCCTCGCCATTGGCCACCGGCCCCTCTCCGTGGCCCGGCTCGATTTTATTTATCACCCTCGGCTCCTCCGGTCGCTCCGAAAGGAACTCTCTTTCCCCTCCGGAGCCCGAACATGGTTTAAACCGTTTATCTGTTCAACACTAATTCTACCTCGTTGTTTTCATGTCTGATGCTCAGTCTGGTTCGGATTGTTGGAGGATTTATGACGGTGAAAAGTGTTTTAAATTTTCCACGGCTGTAAATCTGGATCAGCAGGATCTCCTCCGTCACAACTCCTTCATTCCTCCGCGTTCTTCCTGCGTGTTTGTGAGGCTCACATCTGATAACGTGTGCTCGGATGCAAACGCGCTCGTGGTTGAGGATGTTTATTTGTCCTCTAATCACTTCAGGTTTGTTTGGGACGACGTGGTTGTAACTTCTGTCGTTTAATCATGTTTGTCTGGTAATTAAAAAGCAAATAAACCGCTCAGAATAGATCTTCAGGGTAGAAATGTTGGCGTTTCCATATTTAATCATCTGACTCTCTGGTGATGGAACTGAGGGACACGGCGGTCGCCGCCATAAAACGACACCAGATGGCCAGAAAACAACTTTCTCTAAATCACATTCAGAAAGTAGAAAAAAAAAAAGACAAACCATCGCCACATAATTCACAAAAGGCCTTATCTATTAACGAGACTCAAAAAATAAAGAAATATTACTTTTACTGCCAGTTCTGCATTTCTGGTAAAGACTTATAGCTTAAATAAAAAAAACGTAATCATAAAATAAACACATGTTGAAAATGCAACGCCAGTTTTTTCCATTTTAGATACAAAAAGCCCAGAAGTTCGGCCTTCTAAATTAAAATCTCCTCGACCCCCCCGCGTTGGCTAAATGCTCGACCGTATTAAAGACACAACGTTGGTGCAAAGTTTCAGACGTTCTGGCGGCGAGCTCTCGCTCTGCTGGCGGCTTTGTTCGCGTTTCACCACCACAAACACGGCGGCGTCCTGCTGCAGAGGCCCTGCAGGTTCCCCTCGCTCACGCCTGACTTCCTGCATGTGACTCCGGGATAATTGGCTATCTTTCTTCCCCGCAGGGTTACGAAGGGTCACTGATTAAGTTAACGTCAAAGCAGGTGAGTCGGCCTCGTCGTTTAATGCTCCTCAAAAGTTCTGCCTCACACTTTTAACAAAGTCTGCGTGGTGAATTCAGTCATGTGACGTTTCAGAAATGCAACGAGTTGAGATGATTATGGATTTTGTTTTTTCGTTTTCCTTCCAGCCTGTCGGGTTTGTGACCTTTGACAGTCGCACTGGAGCCGAGGCTGCCAAGAACTCTCTAAACGTAAGCGTTGTCTCCTTTATCTTCTACGTATGAATCTTCCAGTCGTTGGTTTTTAAATGTGCTGCTTCAGTTCCACATTTGCCAAGAGGGTGAATTCCCCCAAATCCAATTCATCTTCCTCCTCGTACCTTTAGTGCCGTTTTAAATCCAGATTGTTTAGGTGGATGTCCATCTTCTCCACCACAAAGGGACTCTGGACTCTGTCTCTGGTGCTCAAAGAAAGAATCTCTCTGCAGAAGTCATGACGCGGCTGCTGCCGATGAAGCGCGAACCTTTTTTGAGAAGTTTCTCGTCGGAACTCCTGGTTGAAGGAAACAAACTGCTGCAGCGGCGCGTAGCAACCATTGTCTTTCCTCAACGTGTCGCGGCCCTCCAGGAAGCGTGCGCCCGGCGTGCTAACCAGCTAGCGCTGAAGTTGACGCCTGCGCGCTTCCTGGCAGCGACGAGTTTCCCGGAAAGCTTCTTAAAAAATGAAACGTCCGACTCAGAGATCGGCGGATCGTCTCCAGCAGATCGCTCCTGACTCTGGGTCATTAATGGCACTGCAGGTCAAAGGTCAAACATGCATCTTTTTGGAGTAAACCGTCCCTTTCCCAGGAAATCCACGGCCCTTTGTCTCCTGTAACTTGGTGGCAGGGCCCTTTGTGCAGAGGCCACGATCCTGCAGCCTCGCGGTAGTTTGACCCCCGACGCTCCATCGGCGACTTTCCTCGTGTTCGCACTTTACCGCTGAACCGCAGCACTTTGTCCTATGAGCCACATGTGTAGTGTAATCTGTACACCTCAGTAGTGTGACCGCCCATGTGACCACCCAGCAGCTCACACAGCAGCAGCAAAGCCACACACACACACACACACACACACACACACACACACACAGTACTACTCACCTGCATGTGGGCACAGCGCTTAGGGCACAAGAACACCAGCAGGGTTCAGCCACCGGGAAGGAATTACTCTCCCATCGGCTTCCCCCCCCGGCACCCCGCAACTGGCATCTAGTACGTCCGGCCTCTGGAATCTGATTCCGTGGAAAACACATGAGACGCGTCTTGGCAGAAAGTGGTCTGGAATGACACACCACCCCACTGTCTCTTGTCCTCTGCCTTCTGAACTCGGTCCCGGAGAGAGAAAGACGCGGTCTGCCAGGAGTGTGTCCGATATTACAATAGGCCTTTGTGTCTGTGTGGGGGGGGCCGGGTGGGGTGAGACTGCTGAGCTGCAGCCCCTTTCTAAACTCAGCCCACTTCCCTTACGATGCATTGTCTTCCTTCCTTCTTCTTCCTCCCCCCGGTCTCTCCCCCCAGGGAATCCGTTTTGACCCTGAAAGCCCCCAGACCTTGCGTTTAGAGTTTGCTAAAGCCAACACGAAGATGGCAAAGAGTAAGTTGATGGCCACACCGAACCCCACAAATATCCACCCTGTTTTAGGAGCTCATTTCATTGCACGGGACCCATGTAAGTTGTAGGGCTGCACCATTTTTAGGTTTTTTTGGTCCATTTCTCACCGGGGGGGGGGGGGGCACAACTAGTTTAACTACATTTAAGAAACGTCGTCCAGCCGACGCAAAGGACTAACTCACCTCCACGTGCATGCGTCCTCCCGCCTCGTAGCCGCTTTGCTTCTGTGCCGCTGTGGAGGCTCCACTCGCTCACCGGGGGGGTCGTGCCCTTTGCTTCGAGGCCGTAGATACGGGGGGGAGAATGTTTATTTCATTGGTGTCCTCCGTGGTGCTTCATTTGCTGCTCGTATTTCAAATAAACTTGATCGCGATTAAAAAGTAATTAAAGCTCTAGTTGGTCGCCGTAGCATCGAGTTTTCCCATCAAATAGTTCTGTTTATTTTGAAGTTTCCGGCTTGATGTGATCGGCTGAAACGTGGAATTTCACTCCAGTTCAAATCTTTCATGCAAAGTTTGCAGTGTCTTGTGATTTATTCTTATGACTACTGAACAAATGTGGGTTTGTTCTCAACTTAAATATCACTGGTTTCCAAGCTGAAATCACCAAAGACATCAAACATGGTGGATTCCTCGTCGTCAGGCTCTAAAGCGGTTTTAGTTTAGTTTTTTTACGGCTGAATACAAATATTTGACAACCGGCTCCAGCTGCGCTTTAATAAACGTGAGAAACCAGTTAAAAGTAGAACTGAACGAGTGAAATCTGCCGTGACTCAAAGTTCTTACTACGACTCGTCAGTAATAAACCTAAATGTCACATCGCGGCAACACAAACCCGTCGGCGCGCCTCAAGGCCGCACCGTCTTGCTGTTGAAGCGCCGATGAACTCGGGTCAGTCGGCTGTGTTGTTTCCTCGCGTCCTCTGCTTCCCCCAGATGACCTGACGGGGGCGGCGCTGATCCCGGCGTCTCCGGACGCCTGGACGCCGTACCCGCTGTACACCACGGAGCTGACCCCGGGCCTCCCCCACGCCGCCTTCACCTACCCGGCGGCCGCCGCTGCCGCCGCCGCCCTCCACGCCCAGGTGAGGGACCGACCGGTGTGTGTGTGTCTATCGCCACTTCAGCTAAACGCAAACGAAATGACTTGAACGAGACGCGAGGCCGCGCAGTCGAGCGCCACGGCAACTTTTCTTAGAATCGAATCCCAAATTTTTTCAAAGAATTATTGCATCCGTAATAAAAAATGCGATATAGTGAGTGACTTCTTTAAAGGCAAAGATGTTCCCGCCAGGCCGCAAAACATGGCTAAGCTAGCTAGCAGCCGGCCAGTTTTTTTTAATTAACTTAATATTTAACGATGTAATCTGACACAATTTGGATAATTAAGTCTTCTGCCATTGGCTACTATAAAAGTCATTTATTTTGGCATGGTACTTGTAACCCGAGGACCAATGGGCTGTCACCTGTCTCTGCTGGGGGGCGGGGCTTAACAAGAAACATGGGAATTTGTTTTATTTAAATTTATGGATGCACCGCTTCACTTTAACGTCCTTTAACATTTTAACATTCACATCCCGGAAACATGACGTCATCTCGGGAACAAGTGGCTCCTCGAAGACAATGAAGCTAAAACCCAGAGTTACGTCGCATAAAAGGATTTAATGTCTTCATGCGTTCATGTGGTGTCACCTTCTGGCGCCGCGCGCTCGGATCCCTTTGTGGGCGTCTTTAGCTCCTTTCTGTCTGTGAAGAAGTGTAGATGTTTCCTTAGAGCTCACTATTCAGTCTGTGCAGAATGAAATGTGCTCCTAAAACCGACCAGAGAGATTCACATAATCTAGTTTAATCCCACACAACAGTTTGCACGCGTTGTTTTGCAGCTGCTCTGCAAATATCTGGTGACCTTTATCCTCCGGGTGTTTACGTGTTCAAGCTAAACGCTGAGCGTTGGCGCCGATGGAAAATACTTCCTGTGTTTGGCTCATTTAAAGTCCGTCGTGATGTCACTTCCTGCTGCGACGGGGCAACTCCCCCGGAGGAATGAGAGCTATGCACTCAGGAACTGTCCGGCCTTGCTGTCGGGGGGGTCGGGATGGGGGGGGCGATTGCAATCTGGTGAGAGACGGCTGCAGGTTCCCTCCCCGCTGACTCTCAGGCCTACGAAGTGTCGGATGTCTGAATGTAGAAGCGTGAGGTTGTTTCGTTCTCCGGCTCTACGTGATTGTGTGATCTTCGCTCTTCAGATGCGCTGGTACCCGACGCCCTCTGACACCTCCCAGCCTGGATGGAAGTCCCGGCAGTTTTGTTAGATTATTTCAGTAAGTAAACTTAACGATTAACTCAGTACAGCGGCTGGCTGTTTCAAGAAATGTTTCTATTTGAATGTGTCATTTGTAGCCATTTATTCTGATTGTAATGTTCCTGTGCTGACAGCCAAAGTAACACCATCTAGTTATTTCTAAACGTGGACTAACGTTTGTCTTCCTTCTGCAGGCCTCTGGAAACCGCAGCCTGAAGTGAGGTTTACCAAGCTCTTCATTAATTAATTTAATCAGGTTTATTTAATGGACAAATGTGCATTATTATAAACTAACAGTATTTATATCGCCTCCCGATTGTCTCTGGGGGGATCTGAGTTGAAACCATCTTGCTGTTGACAATCTAAGCGTATCCATGGCAACTATTGCGGTACCATCACTTCAAATTAAAAGAATAAAACCTGTTAAAGGAACTTCGTGCAGACGGAGGGGGTGTGGGTCCGCCCCCCCCCCCCCCTTAGAAGCGTTTAGAGTCATTGCATGTTAGTCTTTATGGCATGAATTTAGAACGCAGACGTCGGTGTACCCTAATTTTGTGTTTGTTGCCTCTCTATGATTTTATTTTCGGGCCTAGACGGCGAAGCTGTTTGTTTCCTGTAGAACCTCGTCTTACCTCGTATCTCGCATGGACCTCGTGAATGCGTCCCCACGTTCTAGAAGACGTCCCTCGATCAGTGTGCGTCCTTGTTTCAGCAAAGCCAAGCACAAGTGCTCCTGTACTTTTGCTTGATGTATATTTATGCTTTTTTTTTTTTTTTTGTGCAACTTAAAAAAAAAAAAAAAAAAAGATGAGCCTGTATAAGTTGATGTTTAGTCGTGTTTTTCGGTGTGACTTTTTGATCCTATAATCCTGTTGACGTAGTTTTAAAGAAGTGCAATTTGTTTAAAGGGGAAATGGGTCGATGCTCGTGTCATTCTGCTAAAGTCAGATTGCTGTAAAACGGATCTGTCAGAATGTGAAACTGGACTTCAAATGTTAAAGGTTGTTTATTTTCTGGGGGGGGGGTGAGATGGGAAGCAGGATCAGAGCAATGGAGGAATTTAGTTTGTGGTTTAGAACATGTTTGTCTTTGTATCTGCTGTGCATAAGATGTAAAAAAAAACAACTAAACTTATTCCCATCTTATGAATAATAAAAAAGTGAATGCATTCTGTCTGTCGTCTTCATCGCTCAAAGAATCAACTCTGGACGTCAGATGTCGGCCTCAATAATTCATGCTGACTTCATTTCTGCACTGGTGCATTAGTGCCCCCCCCCCCCCCCCCTCGGGACTCCCAGTGCCACCAGCTGCCCCCCTGCAGGGGGGCTGGTTAAACATACTGAGCATCGGACATCATATCCTGGCTCTGACCGGGTGGGCTCTATATGCAGCCTAATGTTTATTTGTAAGAATTAGTGCAGTTTCCACCTAATTTAACAACATGAAATTATTTTATCCTTTTACTCGTATAATATTTTAAATTGCTTCTTTGACCAAAAGATGTTCAGCTTTCTCTTTTCACCTTAATTGTACATTTTCTTTACCAAATCGCAACAATCCGCTGTGGATGAATCACAAATAAACTGCAGCCTTTGAAAACCACTCTTGTTCCTCAAAGGATGAAGACCATTTGAGATCTAAACCCCGAACCGCCTGCGGGGATTCGGTTTGTCCTTTAAGCAGATCGGTGCAGTCGACTTCACGCTCACACAATATTTGGATTGACATGAAATCAATGGTGTGAAGATGCAACATTTTCTCTCCGGTTTTCTTCTGCAGACACGAGCAGTTTGTCCGGTAGAAACCATCAGGAATTCTTTGCAGTAATATTTGCTCACGAGAGGCACAAAAACATCTTTGCATATTTAATCCGAAATCCTTGTTAGAATTGTTCTTTTCATGGAGTCCAATCAGAATAAATTTAGGGAGCAACATACGCGTTGCTTACAGATCTAATGTACATTATACCTTTTATAAATGTGTATATATGATATATTGTGTACATATGTACCCCACGATACGTTTACATACAATTTGATTCAAGTTATTTTATTTAATATTTTCTAATATAGAATACGCACATTTTTGCTTCATGTCACTTGAATATATAAAAGATTTGTATCGGTCGCACAACAAAGCTGTTGAACTTGGCAACTTGTTTAAAGTTAAAATAAGTATGTAAAGAGTAAAGAGACGTATTTATACTTTACTGCAGGACTTTGTCGCCCTCTGCTGGACAAACGTACACACGCCACTCTGCTGGAGGAAGTATTCACACCTTGTACTTTAGTACAAGTACAAATACCACAAGGTATACACACTCTGGTGCAAGTATGAACATGTAACTTCAGATAAATCATTTAGCTAAAAACTGTCAGGCAGCTCCAGCTTGTTCAGAACGCTGCTGCTAGAGTTCTAACAAAGACCAAAAAATGTGAGCACATTACAGCAATTCTTAAATCCTTACATTGGCTCCCAGTATGTCAGAGAATTAATCTCAAAATCCTACTGCTCACATATAAATCACTACATGGTTTAGGGCCAAAGTATATCACTGATATGCTTCCACTACATAAGCCTTGAAGATCACTAAGATCTTCTGACACCATCTGTTAGTGATTCCCAGAGTAAATACAAATCATGGGAAAACATCATTTAGTTACTACGCAACAAACAGCTGGAACAAACTTCCTGAAGATTTAAGACTTAAACTCTGACCACGTTTAAAACAAGACTGAAAACTTTTATGTTCAGCTTCGCCTTCTGCTAAATTTTACCTACATTGCACTTTTAATCTCTGCTTTTAATTAAACAATTTAAATAAGATTTTAATTTATCATTTTATTTGCTGTTTCTAATTGTCTTTTAATTCCTGCATTTTATTTCACTTTATTGTATGAAATGTTATGATGTGAAGCACTTTGAGTCTGCCTTGTGTATGAAAAGTGCTATACAGATAAACTTGCCTTGCCTTGATTAAATCCTGGCTACTTAGAATGTAGAAGTAAAGCCCTGTTTTGATATGTAGACTTATCAGACTTCAACTAATTATTCTGATCGTGGATTAATTTGCTAAAAACTCACCGTGAATCAACTGTTTGAAAAGGTGATCAAATAAGCACCGAGAGTCTGAAGTGAAACCGTCACTTTTATTCTCCAACAAATAGCACAAAAGTGTTGGATACACATTTTAAATGAGTATTATAGTTATTATTAGTAATGTTAGTTAGTTTAATGCAGCAGCGGCAGTTGAAGGACTTTCCAGAGTGTCAAATAGAAAGACTCATGACGGTGGACGAGGTACTCTGGGGTTTTACTCAAGTAAAAGTACTAATACCACAGTGTATAACTATTAGTAACTAAGAAAGTAAAAATAAGAAAGTATCAGCATTCAAATAAAATCATGTTACAGCTGGTAAAAATACTTTATAGAATAGAATAGAAGTACTTTATTGATCCCCGCGGGGAAATTCAAGATCCAGGTAGCTCCTGACAATATACAAACATAATATACACATGCAGTTAAACTATTAAAAAGGGTTTATCAAAGAAAGAATAAAGTTCAGCACCGACCACAGAGCCATCCTTCCTCTTCGTGCTTCCTCCCCACCTCCTCTTCCACCACAGACTGGTGGAACATCTGGAGGAGTTTGCTGCAGACGTTGAATGACCGCAGCCTCCTCAGAAAGCACAGCCGGCTCGGCCCTTGTCTTGTGTTGTGTTGGCAGACCAATCCAGTTTATTGTCCAGCATCACCCCAAGATACTTGTATGTGCCTCCTCCACCTCCTCAATGGAAACCGGTAGCACGGTGGGCTGAGACCTGCGGACATCCACCACCATTTCCTTGGTCTTAGCAGTGTTCAGTTGTAAGTGGTTGTGCTTGCACCGTTGCACAAAGTCCTCCACCAGGCTCACGTACTCCCCTCCCTGACCATCCCTGACACACCCCACTGTTAACAGTGTGGTCTGAAAACGTCTGCATGTGGCCAGACTCTGTATCCTAACAGAGGTCAGAGGTGTGCACGGTTCCCCGTGGTGCTCCGGTGCTGCAGACCCCAGTGTCTTCAGTGTGACGCGCTGCGGCCGCCCTGTCAGGTAGTTGGTGATCCACGATACGAGGCGATCGTCCACGCCCCGTCTGCATGAGCCGGTCTCCCAGTCTGAGGAGCTGGATGGTGCTCAAAGCTCTGAAGAAATCAAAGAACATGATTCTCACGGCACTTTCCCCCGTAGTCCAGGTGAGTGTGCGTCCCACGCAGCAGGTACGTGATCGCATCGTCCACTCCTACCTCCTCCGGGTATGCGAACTGTAGTGGGTCCAATGCGTGTCGTACCTGAGGTCTGAGTATGGCCAGTAGCAGTCTCTCCTCTTCTTGGAGACATATTCTGCCACAGGTGTTACTCAATAGAAATACAATGAGATTTACCACTTCATTATTTCCCATGAATTATCTAACCCGGCAAAGTATCTGTCAAATATTTAGGAAAGCACCAAATGCAAAAAAAAATCCAGTTGAGTTAAGTTAGATCCGTCTGCAGGTAAACATAATTATTCAATACAGGAAAGAACTGAGAGGAGCCACAGAAATGAAATGTGTATAAACGTGTGTATATGTTTCAAATGAAATCCTAAATATGTGACAAGTAAAAGTACTTATATATCTTAATAACAATATGGTCCATTTTCGTATTAAGATACTTGTGAATACTTTCTTATTTTCCCCACCATCTATTACTGCAGGTATGGATGCTCTCGTATAGGGTTGGAATTTTCCTCTTCTTGCACAAGCAAATTATATCATTTGCTCTCATAATGGAAAAACCTGACACATGAATACAAGTATAAATATTATCCACTCAGAATATTAACAAAATATATATAATACATAAAAAACAACAAAAAATGCTTTAAAACCACTAGAGCTCAAACACTCTGGGTAGTTAAATAAAGCTTTTAACATTTATTTGAACCAAACAGTCACGTGGCGCGCTGTTTGATGCGCGTCACGTGACCGCCCCTCCGGGCGCGTGTCATTCGCCGAGCGCACGTTTTCCGAATTGAGCCTAATTGTGCGGCGAGCGGCGCGTCTTAAGTATGTCCGCTGCGCGGTGCCGGCGGGTATTACCGGGACGTTCCTCCTAAGCAGTCAGTCCACGTCATGGCGTTCTCTCTGGTGAGTCCCGTCCCCCAACAAACAAACAAACAAACAAACAAACAAAGAAAAACACACTTTTAAGCGAGTCGCGTCGTGCACTTTTGACCTTTTCCGTGACGTGAAGCCGCCGTCGGTTAGACTCCATGTTTGTGTGTGTGTGAGCGCGCTAGCTCCCGCTTAGCTTTGTCTCCCCCCCCCCCGCAGAAAAACGAAGCCCGCAGGCCGGACAGCCCGGACCCGGAGACCCCCGCCCTGTCCACCTGCAGCAACGCGGACATCTTCCGCCGGATGAACACCATGCTGGGCAACGCTCTGGATTTCAGCGGTGTGTGCACCACCCCCACCAGCCACAACCACCACCACCAGCACCACCACCCCCACCCCAAGGGGAAGCCAGACCTGCTGTGTGGTAAAGTCTGCTTAGTGTTCTCAACCCTGCAGCAGGTCGAGGGGGGTGTTGCCTTTTTAGATGCCCCCCCCCCCCTCCGTTGAGCCCCTCTAGTCACTGATCTCCATCACCGAACGGCACAAAAACTAAGCAGTTTGAAAGTGGAATAAATGTTTTACGTAAGGTGGTGTAAACGGGTGGTGGTGACCTTCTGTCATGTGAACTATATTTCATCAATCATTTGATCTTCATGTAAATTATGTGACGGCTTCGAAGTTAAAGTCCAAAAAACTAATTTAATGTGCTGCAAGAATAAAACCAACAAGCTTTTTAAAACCCTTTTTTCAACGAAAGTTGTATTTGGAGTTTTTTATGTTCCTGCAGAGGTCGTGACCCCCAGCGGAGCTCCTGATTCATTCCGCTGCTGTTTGCACCACAGTTCAGACCAAAGAACCCGACTGCAACTTGAACCTTAAGTTCTAAATGAACTGGTTGAACGTCTCTCCTGCGGAGTCATTGTGCAGAACTTTGACGTCTCTTTTAAAAAGTGGCGTTTGTAGATCGGAGCTCCGTTCATCTTCTCGCCGACGTCTGTGGATGATTCGATTTCTGCTGGCTGTGCTGAATCAGGGCTGCAGCTGGAGGCGTTCCAGGCTGTGGAGAAGGTTAAGGGAGGAGCTGGCCGTGCTCCACATCTCCTGCTACAGCAGCGAGGCGTGACCCCCCCCCCCTGTCGCCCCCCCACCCGGCCATTTGTTCACCGTGTGCAAAAAAAAGCCCAGAATCGATGAGTCTGATTTAGCAGCTGGTCTTTTTGCTCAAATCTGGAGTTTCTTTTTTTTTTTCTTAGTCTGCTGAGTCATTTGCTCCCACGCTGCCTCCCACCATGCCGCTGTGGTTCTGCCCCCCCCTCCCCTCTCCTCCCTCCCTCCCCCTCGCCGTCGGCTTGCAGAGGAAAAACCAGGAGAGACGAGTATCAGCAGCTGCAGTCTGTCCACGGACTCCGAGCGGGGAGGACTTCTATCAACAAGCAGATTGCTCCGACTGGAATTTTTCATTACAGTTGTTGGGCAGGGAGGGGGGGGGGGGTGAGGGATGGTGGAGGCGGGGGGGTGATGTCATTAGCTGCTGATGCACTCGCACACCCCTGCTATGTCACATGCTGCTAGGTGGGTCAGTGATGCGGACGGAGATGCATGGCAGTTTCACCGGGCACAGAGGCAGCAGGTTAGCGTGGGGGGGCTGGAGGGGGAGGGGGGCGTCATGGAGGTTGGTTTGCCGTCGGCGTTTCCCTCGCTGACCTTCGCGTGTCGCAGACCGAAGCGACTCTTCATAACTCTTTTCTCTCTTCTCTCTCTCTCTCCTCTGAACCGGGTCTCGGCCTTGAAGAGTCGGAGCTGGCTGCGGTGGGCAGCAGGAGGATGCTCTTCCCCAACAACAACAGCGGCGGCGTGCCCGGCTCCCGGGACGCGCCGCCGCCCAGGGGCCCCCCCGGCGTCGCCGACCTGGGCCTCGGCCTCCAGTCCCTGCGGCTGTCCGGCTGGGACCGACCGTGGAGCAGCCAGGACACGGAGGCCCTCCACTCCCCCTCGCAGGTCCACTCCAGCTCGCCCTCCAGTAAGTACCGGCCGCCGCGTGTCGTCTCGTGTCCCGGGGACCGTCGCTCCGCGGCCTCGTGAGGTGATGTCATAACCTCCATTGAGATGAGTAGCTAACAGCGGTCGCGCTCTGAACGCGCTGCAGCGTCATCGGCGAGGGATGATGTGGCACTTTTTTTTTTTTTTTTTTTTGCCTCGCTGCATCTCTGGCAGCCACAAAAACAACCTACTGGAGGAACTTCTATGCCCCCCCCCCCCCATAAAGCCCCTCACCAGCCCCCCACCAGCCCCCACTGAAGTTCCTCTGAATATTTGAAATACCTGTTGATCAGACCAGCATTAAAAATGACAGCAGTGCAGAGGACCGGCCCCAGTTAGCTTGCGTAACGCTGAGATGAGCAATGTGGGGGGGCAGGCACTATGATGGGGGGCAGTGGGGGGGCGGGCACGATGGTGTGTGTGTGTGTGTGTGTCTGTGTAAATGCATGCGTGTCTATACAGACAAGGCCCCACTTGTCGTGACCCATTCTGTAGTTTTAACGCTGCTCGTTGGAAGCGACGTGACTCATTCGGCGCTTTCCTGAACCGGGTCTGGGGACGGATCCACATGGGACGGGGCTATTTAATGAGCGCCCCCCCCCCCCCCCCCGGCAAGGCCTCGTGTGCGCCATTGCGGGGGAATCTGTCGCCTCAGGAAGGGAGCAAACAAAACTCTTGGAGACAAATTGTGCAGCAAAGATTAAGATTCTTTTGAATACTTTTTAAGCTGTAAGATTCACGACTCCTGTTACAGTTTATTATTAATTAACAAACCGTTAAATGGACGGCTGTTTTATTCCGCCTGAATATTGTCTGTGGACTGAACGTCCCGTCCTCACCCCGCAGTGCTGGGGATCCTCAACAGCCCCTTCAGCAGCATCCTGGGGAAGCCCCACGGCTACTTGCCCCCCGAGTCCATGAGCATGACGGCCGACTTCCTGGAGAAGTTCCCCAGCATGGCGCGCATGGCCAGCCGCCTGGACTCCAGCTCGCTGCTGGACTCCCGCTCCAGCAGCCCGGAGGACTCGGAGACCAGCGGCTTCAGCTCCGGGTCGGACCACCTGTGTGACATGCTGGTAGCGTGGGGGGGGGGGGGTCATAGTGGTTTTAGAAGCAGACTCGTGTCTTTGTCGGTCGTGATAATTCAACCTTTCATTGGATAAGTGCGGATGTCCGTTTCCTCCCTCCAGTCGACGCTGCGCATTTCCCCCCCGCTGCCTTACCTGGCCTCCAGCATGCAGAAGGATCTGCTGCGTCTCAGCTCCCGCCTGGACCCGCAGGACTCCAGCTCCCCCATGACCCCCCCTCCCAGCGCCAGTCCCACCTCCGCCATCTCGCGCCGCTGGCGCAGCGCCAGCCCCTGGCCGGGGGCGGAGCTGCTGGACCAGTCGGACGACACGTTCAGCATCGAGAGGGAGGCTCGTCTGCACCGACAGGCTGCAGGTAGATCTGGACCCTCCCCTCCCCCCCTCCCTCACCTGTGTGGTGGCAGATTTCTATTTGCTTTGATGGTACGTTCGCTGTTAGCGCAGCGGCTAAAGCCTAGTTTATGCATCTGCGTTTTCAGAGCTTTTCACACCTCCTTGCGTGCGTCGAAAGCAACGCAAGCCTCCCGCAGCGCATCAGGCTGCGATCGGTCCGCTAACTGCGTCCTTTACGGAGTCTCACATTTCCGCTTTCACAGCCCGATGCCGCCATTATTAAAACGAAGAATGTTTTTGCGAGAGAACGGATCAGATTTAAGAACTTTTGTGGGAAGAAATGCGTAAATATCAGCGCTTATACGAGCAGTCATTGGCGGGTTTAGAAGCGGGTTGGATTCACGGAGGGAGATCGCCGCAAACGCCGGTTTGCCGGTCGAGAGGAACAAAGTTGTGGAGGAAAATACGGGACAAATGTGTCCTTGATGAAAAGCAGCAGTGTGGATGCACGGGGCAATAACGTCTATGATAAATAAATAAATAAATAGACGTGACTCTCCAGGTCGTCTTCAACAAAACACGTCACTCCGCCTGTTCTGGAGGTGAATCGCTCTGCAACACACGCAGGACTTTAGATCCATCAAGTGAAACGAGTGCGTCGATGCAGAAGCGGAAACGTGCGCCAGCGTGCGTCGCTAGCCGTCCCTCAGGTTTAAAGCGGCTTAGAACAAACACTTAACTGCTGTTTTTTATTGTTTCGATGAAGAAAACAACTCGGTGACAATTGCAAAGTGAAGAGAGAAGAAACCTTTGTTCACCTTTCTGTAGTTCTTTTACATTACATGTCATTTAGCGGACGCTTTTATCCAAAGCGACGTACAGTAAGTGCATTCAACCATAGGGTACAAACTCAGGAGAACAAGAAACAAGAAAGTGCAATTTCCTCAAATAAGCCAGTTTACAATTTGCTATAGATGAGTGACGTTACAAGTACAATTTAAGTGCTACAATTTGTTAGTCTTTAGTCGAGGTACAGTCTGAAGAGGTGTGTCTTTAGTTTGCGGTGGAAGGTGTGAAGGCTCTCTGTGGTCCTGGTGTCTTCAGAGAGCTCGTTCCACCATTTCGGCGCAAGGACAGCGAAGAGTCGAGACCTAGTCGAGTGTTTTGCTCTCAGTGAGGGAGGGACGAGTAGTTTAGCAGATGCAGAGCGGAGAGTGCGGGCTGGGATGTCGGGTTTGACCATGTCCTGGATGTAAGCTGTTAGTCTCCTCACACCTTCTTCTCTGGCCTCGTCAGCTGTGAACGAGGCCACGTTCACCTGGAGCGGTCAGCTGCCCCCCAGGAACAACAAGGACCCCCTCTACTCCTGCAAGGTCTTCCTCGGCGGCGTTCCCTGGGACATCACGGAAGGTAACGCGATGGAACAAACGCCCCTCGTGGACCAGTAAAATGCTTTCTACTCAACGTCCCCCCCCCCCGGACCCCCTAACCTGCTTCTGCTCCGTCGCAGCCGGCCTGATCAACACCTTCAGCGGCTACGGCCCTCTGACGGTGGAGTGGCCCGGTAAGGACGGGAAGCACCCGCGCTGTCCTCCCAAAGGTAATGTGGCTAAAGGTAACGACGAGCTGGTAGGCTACCCCCCCATTTCCTTTTATTCACTGGTGTTTGGGCACCGCGGGGAGTCTGTAGAGGTGGGCGACCGACGGGGAACCGCACGGTGATCTTCAAACATCTCCAGGTTTCTGTGGTTATTTCTCGCTGCATGGAATCTTATTCCCTTTTTTCTGGTCAGCCATTATTTTAAGTCTGAATGTCGCGGGTTGTAGTTGTCACATATTGCATGTTCATTAAATGTGAATATTTTTATTCAGTTTTCAACATTTTAAACAGTTTTCCAACCGTTTGGGTTGAATATCTAAGCAGCCTTGATAAAACCGGTGCTTCCTGTAGGCTACGTTTACCTGGTGTTTGAGAACGAGAAGTCGGTGCGAGCTTTGCTCCACGCCTGCTCTCAGGACCCGTTCCACCCCGAGGACAACCGCGAGTACTACTTCAAGATGTCCAGCCGCAGGATGCGCTGCAAAGACGTGAGCTCCACTCTTCTGTTACTCGTTTTAGCTCTAAACTACCGGCGGCGTCTACGTGGTCCTTTTATCTATAGCACTTTATTCTGAGGTAAATGTCTTTAGATCTGCTCAAACACTCAAGTCTAAAACTTCAGCTTAATTGATTGGTCGTTGACCAAGTAGCAACTATTTTAATCATTAAAGGTTATCGACATTCCTCTGGATTTAAATTATTTAAATTCGGTCATTCCTACAAATTAATCAAAATAATAGAATGAAAATATAAATAAACCCAATAAAATGTACAGTAAAGAGCTGACTATTGACTAAGAATCTGACCTTTTACAGTGTCGTTGACTCGTAACAAACGCGTCGCCTGCGTAACTTTGTGCGCGGCGGCCGTTGTTCGTCTACGTTCCTGAGCGGCCTGTGACTCCGCCCCCTACAGGTGCAGGTGATCCCCTGGGTGATCTCCGACAGCAACTACGTGCGCTGCCCGGCCCAGCGTCTGGACCCCAGCAAGACGGTGTTCGTGGGCGCTCTGCACGGCATGCTGAACGCCGAGGCGCTCGCCAGCATCATGAACGACCTCTTCGGGGGGGTCATGTACGCCGGCATCGACACGGACAAGCACAAGTACCCCATAGGTGGGGAGGGAGGGGCTCGGGGGCATGTTCGTCGCCACGGAAACCTGAGCTAAGCGTGTTAAACCTTTTTTCAGGCTCTGGACGCGTGACTTTTAACAATCAGCGCAGCTACCTGAAGGCCGTGTGCGCCGCGTTTGTGGAGATCAAAACCCCAAAGTTTACAAAGAAGGTAGGAAGCAGATTTATTCAGGGAATAAAAACGGATTCTGACACGTCAGTAGTTGTGAGCAGAGTGTTTCTGCCCCCCCCCCCCCCCCAAGGTCTAGATCGACCCCGTATCTGTGAGGACTCCATGTGTCAAAGTTTGGCTTTCGCCAAACCCGGGGCTTTCTTCTGCAGAGACCCAGGTCAGTGGGGGCGTGGTCTCTGTTGGCCTTGGCGACAGTGGGACGTGATGGGTGTTTTGGGCCCCCCGAATGGACAGGAAGTGTCTTCTGCCTCCTACAGGAGTCCATCTCCTCCTCACAATGCGATTATACACTCGAGGGAGGATGAAAGATTTAGTTTCATTAAAGTGCAGTGAATTTGCTCCAGTCTCATTGAAATCCACGTATAAAAAGTAGAGGAGCACTAAAGAACTTGTTGGTGTTTAGTGTCCATAAATGTGCTATTCATGTAGGCCTGCTGTATAATCTGAGTTATAACTAAACAAATGATGGAATAATCGTTAATAGAAATGCCCCCCCTCCCCCCCCCCCCCCCCCCAGGCCTGCTTCAAGTACTACTGCCGCTCCTGCTGGCACTGGCAGCACTCCATGGACATCCTGAGCAACCACCGGCCTCTCATGCGCAACCAGAAGAACCGCGACTCCAGCTAGAGCCCCGGCCCGCAGCACTCTGAAGGGCCAGAGCGTAGAAGACCCCCCCCACCCACCCCTTGACAGGGCGGGGGGGCAAGGCTGCCCGCCATGGAGAGGGAGCACGTGTGTCCGATGGCCCTCGGCACGGGGGGCACCGCGGCACTCCACCGGGAATCACTAGAGACGTTCACTCTTTTGCACTTTGCATTTTTGCTGTTCACAGGGGCTTTGCACAGTGACCTTGTGGGGGGGGGGGCAGGGGGGGCAGCGGGGGAAGGGTGACAAGACAAGGGTGCCCTTCACACTTATGCATTTTTTTTTTTTTTTTGCCCCTTCCTGGGGGAAGGACCGGGGGGCCGCGGCCCAAGGGAAATTTATTTTTCCCTTGCATAAGGAAGCGCCGCCATGAGTTTCGTTGGCAACGCCATTCAGTGCCTTTGACTTTTTATTTTTCGCCCCCGTCACCGTGCCCCCTCTCCCCGCGCCCTCCTAAACGCCAGGTGGCATCTTTTATTTTTTTCCTGTTCAAGCCCACTGGGGTTTCTTACTTTTTGGGGACGTGAATGTTGGGCTTCATTTAACCAGTCGCATTTCAGACATTTTTACGCAGTTTTTTACTAATTTGTACACAAACGGTTTTAAGTCATGACATGAACATTTTTGAACAATTCTACCAGGCGGCTGTTTTTTTGGGGAAAACCCCTTTTTTATTTTCTCATACAACTTTTCCTGTAGCTTTTTTTTTTTTTTTTTTTTTTTTTCCTTTTTTAATTTGCCCTCCCAAATTTCAACCGAACGGGCACAAAATGTTATAAGAACTACTTTAACTTTGTTGGTCCAGTTGTATTAAATGTAAGTAACCAAAGTACTGGACACGCCTCAACCTGGGCTGTCCGTCACTTCAAGCACCTGATGGACCCGTTGAGACGCGAGCGAATGCGCATTTGACTGTACATGGTTTGGGGTTACTTTAGAGCACTTTTTAATTTGCACGTGTGGAGCGGTGGCAGTGGTTTTTAATCACTTTTGTACATCAGCAGGGGGACGCGCCTTTATTTTGTTAGAACAGCTGCTAGTTTCCTGTTGAATGTAAGAACTTCCATTGAGCTGATAAACTTGATCGATCCGGCGCTTGAGTAGACCAGTCGGCGCTTTCTGGTCCCATTTCTGCCTTCCTGTTCCAGTCGGGACGCTGACGCATAACGAGCCGCGAGTGTCCCCAGTTTGTCCCGCTGAGCTTGTTGTCTTTTGGCCCGGCTGCTTTTTTAGAGTTTTGAAAGTCTACCTCATTGTGGTCTGCCAGGTTTGCTGCTACTTACAGCTGTGGAGTTTGTTCAGATTGGGCACAATAAAGGTGTTTAAGCATTACCCGACGTGTCTGGACTCTTCATCTCGTTCTGGTTTAATATGTTCACTCGTCCTCCGATCGGAACGCAACTTGGTGCACTTTCATTTAGTCACTGAAGAGTCAATATGTGACTAGATTCTAGACAGATTAAATGAACCGAACGCTTCAGATGTCAATGACCTGTTTATCTACGCTGATGTGGACCATCTAGTCTTGGGAAGGAAAGGGGACATTTTGATGCAAATGACGGTTCCAGACTACAGACGGCTTCATTTCATCGACACCCTGAAGAGCAACGAACATTTGGTCCAACTAAAACTTCTGGACCTCAAATGCTAAAACATCCTGTGGCCCCGCGTGCTCTTCATGCTCGACAACGTCTCTGCTCCCGATGAGACAACGGTCTTGTCGGATCTTCTCCCACATCTGTCTGTTGGACCCAAACAATGTCCCAGAGGTGTTCCATCGGGTTTAGGTCGTGTGATCCTGAGGGACACTCAATGGTATCAATTCCTTCAGGTGCTGCCTGCATACTTGGAACCCAGGACCTTCTGCACGCCTCCCGAGACCATCTCTGACCCACCGAACTGCCTCATGTCACAGGCAGCAAAATGCCCCCACGCACAGTCTACTTCTGATTGACCTCCAGCAGAGGACGTCTTCACTCTGTAGGCCCGTGCTCAACCCGTTCCTCTTTGCACCAGGCAGAAGATGAGTCCTGATGTTTCGAGGACCTTCCACGGCCTCTCCAGCTCTCAGAGTAACTGCCTGTGTCCTCAGTGCGCTGGAGACACGCGTGTAGGAGTTCTATGCTGGAGAGGTTGGACAAGCTGTTCTGCAGGCTTAACAGATGTGCTCCTGCTGACGGTGGACGGTGATGGACTCCAGAAACTGCAAGACACGCCCTGTTTTGGGGGCCGTCTCATTGTTGCCCCTCTAGTGCACCTTAACAATTCCATCAACAGCGACGCACCGTGCTGCTGAATTAATCGGATATCCTGAGAAAAGATCCGTATTTGACTTTGACATCTTACAGAGTTTCTTATAAACTCAACATTTGATAACAATCCTCATGGCAGGTGTTGGTGCTCCGCCGCGGTCACGTGTTTGGTGCCGATGGGGACAAAGTTGTGTTTAGTTCTGGAAATGGAACAAGGGGGTGAGAGTTGTGTGTTGACCGCAAAAACTACGTATTGTACCCGATGATTCATTGAAGGAAGTTCTCTCAACATGACACCTTGTAGAGGAAGTGGATTAAGGCTTGAAACAAACTACTGTAATCAGTTTATTGGCAAAATGAAAGTTATGAGTACAAACTTACTAATCCAGCTACCAGAAGTCCATCTAGTTACAAACATACAGAACTTGTTTTAGAAAGTTATCGGTGTTTTTCATACAAACTGTACATCGAAAGAAAACGGGAAGGCAGATTTGAACATTATACAAACATCTAAAAATCATACATTGTTCTGTACGAGATGATTTCCCCGAAAATATTCTGCAGAAAAGTTCCCTTTTATTTTAAAGTTGGTTAAAAAATATTTCACTTAGGTTTTTGTCTTAAAGTGAGTATAATAAACTAAAAGGTACCTTTAGATAAAGGAAAAAGCCTGTAAAATAGTGACACTTTCAGCATTGTAAATCTTCCTCTTTAGCATCATTATTTCTATTATTTCCAGAAGAAAATCTAGCAAACATGAAAAAAAACAACTAAACCCTGGCAGAATTGTTTTGAAATTCAAACAAATTACTAAAATTATATACAATGTACTAAATTCTTTTTGCAATAACTAAAAAAGTCAGATTTAAAAAACAATGGATTTTTTTTTCTTCTGGGAGCCCGATCCGGCGTTCCTTAAAACAAACCCTGTTAAAAAAAAATAAGCTTAATGAAAAATAAACATTCAGCACGGCTCCGATCCAAAAAGGTTCTAAAGTGCTCCGACGAAAAAAAAATGGACTGACGGCCAAATAAAGAGGAAAGTGTCTCAAAAGAACCAAACTAAATGCTGCAGGAAGGAAAAGGTCACATTTCTATTGATACAGCGGCACTTTGGTGTAATCTTTGACGTTCCTGCACAAGCAGATGGACAAGATCATCCCCAGCAGCTGAGGAAGGAGAGGACAGACGGGTCAATAATCAGGTCCTCCATGCCTTTAATACGGGGGGGGGGGTCACTTACCTCGATCACAGCCACACCGACGCAGATGCCCAGGACCACCCCGATGTTGGTGCGGAGCCAGCTCTCCACGCTGGAGGAACAACCCTGGAGGAGGAGGAGAGGACCAGGAGGACACGTCAGAAGGTTCGTGGAAACGTGCATGCGCCACAGAAGAAGAAGGGCGCCGCGCTCACCGCCTCGTAGACGGGCCAGTCGGACGTTTGGGCCTCGCAGAAGCCGCTGTCGGAGGAGTTCGCGGAGGCGTTGTGGCAGGAGCAGGGGAAGAGCAGCTGGGAGCTGTTGACCACCACCGGGTTCCTGCTCCAGTCCTGGTGCCCGGTCCAGCCGCAGCACGCCATCTGAGGAGCGGGGGGGGGGGCATGCGTGGGTCAATAAAAACAAAAAATGGAAAAAACGGTACCGAGCTGGTGTGCCGGAATGTGCTAAAGACGTCTTGTGTTCATGCTTAAATGATTCAACCGGAGGACGAGTTTGTACGTTTCAGCAATGAAATAAAAAAGATTTTAAAAGCACGAATTTGGCCCCAGATCAGTTGTTCCGACTCACGTTCCTCTGGATGAAGTCCCAGGCCTGCTGCGTGGGGGAGCTGCTGCCGGGGTAGTCCTCCAGCACCTTGGTGACCACCTTGGACATCTCTTCATTCAACTGGGAGGAAAACAGGTCATGTATGTATACGCGTGTACTGGAAACACGTAGCTCAGGCTGAAGGCGCAAACACGTGCACCTCTAAAGGGCAATAAACTGCGGAGCCCAAATGTATGATTAGAACCAACCATCACCGTGCAGGTGAGACCACTAACGGCGCGTTTCCACCGAGCGGTGCGGGTCGGGTCGGTACCCTTTTATTTGTGTCTCCACTGCCAAAAGTTGAGAATAGTACCAAAAAACCGAACCGTACCACCTTTTGGGTTCCCTCCCCTTGGGGCACCTGGCACAGTGGTTTGGTACTAAAGGGCGGAGCTAGACTCACTGCAGAGCGTTGATTGGTTGAAAGAGTGTCGTCATTTGTGTTTTTCCTTGCAGCCTTTGCTCAAACAAAGAGTGTCGTCTCCTTGTGACAAACAGCCACATGTGGAGAAGCAGGAACAGGATCGGCTGTCTGTCCTCCGTTGTTGTTTGCGGTTAGCTTTCAGTTTTCTACTTTCCGTCATGTACCACGCCTATCAAGTGATGTCATCACTACTTTCTGGAATACACCACGCCTATCAAGTAAGGGTACTGTTGGCGGTGGAAGTGCTCGCCAAATCATGGTAATTAGACCCGAACCGTACCGCTCGGTGGAAACGCGCCATAATTAACAGGAAGTGACATCACTCACCGCATCTTTCTGGAAGTAGATGAGCGTGCCGGCCACGACCTGCGCGATGAGGATCAGCAGGAGGCAGGCGAAGTACTGCGGAGAGAGGAGACGCACGTTAGACGTCCTCCCACAGCTGGAGACGCCAGCAGACCAGCAGAAAAGAGTCCCTAACAAATGGCCTCCCTCCGCCTGTCCACTGTGACCAGCGGGACACACACACACACACACACACACACACACACACACACACACACACCACAGCTGCATTATTCAGAACCACGCCACAGATGTGCGTCTCTCACCAGGCCCAGCAGACAGCGGAGCTCATAAATGGCCCCCAGGCAGCCGAGGAAGCCCATGAGCATGGAGAAAGACCCGACCGCGATCAGGATGTAGCACGCCGCCTTCACCGCCGCCGAGTCATCTGCAGGGACACAGACAGCTCGACATCACGACGGCTCTTCTGCATGAAGGTCCTGGGTGTCGACGCCGTTTATTCTGTGAGGTTCTGTCGCCCCCCTGTGGTCGCAGGCGGAATCGTTTCCTAAAAGAAAAGGCCTTTTGCTGCCAAATGTTCCGCTACGCTCGGTGCTGGTTCTGGTTCTTCCTTCCATCACTGGTCAGTAAGTACAGAGAAGGACGCTTTCTATTCCTGGAGAGAAGCAACCAGCAGATTAATCACAAACAGAAAGGAGTTGTAGCCGCGATGCTGACTTCTGGGTGCCGCATCACTCCCCCCAGAGGAGAATCCTCCGCTCGCCACAAATAGAACAGACAACCAACAAGTACAGCAAGAAGGTGTTCAGATATTTATACAGTTTTTCTTTTGGTTAGCGTGAACGTTTCGAATGTCTCCACCGGGTGTTTAAACTCTTCTTCCCCTCTGAAGAATGAAACCTGGAGGAGCTCGTCCACGTCGGAGCCAAAAGGAGGGCGAAGCGAGCGGCGAGCGATCAGGGCCCAACGCAGAGCGCTAAAATAAGACCTCGGTCACCGCTTGAGGCCCCGGACGGGATTCTGGGAGACGTCCTGGCGGACGAAGACGATACGTCTGTGGTGCTCGTTTAGTCACACGTAAAGACCGCGAACAAGCGGCGGAGTTAACGTCAACGTTTTAAAGCCCCCCCCCCCCCCCCCCCCCGCCCCCCCCTCGCTGACGGGAAACCTCCCGAGGGATCAGTGAACCAGGGCACGACAAGAGAAACGAAGGGACTTTATATTAGGCTACGGGGGGCCGGGGGGGCGAACTGTGTGCATGTGTTTATGTGCAAAGTGATATGATACAAAGTATCTCAAATTGAGATGAGGACTAAAACATGTTGCTGTATATATTTGGTCTTTAAACCATAAATATCATATTCACATGTATATTATTAATTTTGTGTTTACTAAGATAATAATCAAGATGTGAAGTTTTATTTCATTAACATCTGCATCACAACCAGCACACCGATTATTTGTGCGTTCATGTATTTTAATGTTTACTAGTGTTTTGATTAATCTGCTAGTTGCTTTTCTCCATGAATAGATGAATGTTATTTCTCTACTTTGTATCCTGCTGGACATAATCTATAATAATATTAATACACCATGATTCATCAGGCAATTTGTATTTTGCATCAACAATATAAATCTCAATATGAAATAAATGTGCTGGAGTGCAAAGTCGATAAATCCCTTCGAGGCATAAAACACTGAAGTGATTGACTTGACTGAAGTGAAGGATTATGGGACGGCTCGCTTACGCCTGATGTCACACAGAGTGACGCGTTAGATCGGCTCTGACTCAGCGGCGTCCTCCGGTACCACCGGGCCACGGCAGCACCGTCAGCGCCTCGACGGTGACACAAAGCTAAACTGTCCCCCCCCCCCCGGTCACCCATGACGTCCTGGACTCACGCTACCCGTCCTCCTGCTGGGACACAGTGGTGATGTGTGCGTGTGCGTGTGCGTGTGTCACGGGGCCGGACGGAGCAGAAAGGGTCCAGTGTCTGAGGGGAGGACGCCTGCATTACAGCAGCTCAATGTCCGTCTCTATATTTCTGCATCGACGCGTCTCACGTCGTCTCACGTCGTCTCCGTCTCGCTCACACTCGTCATCTCTTTATTCTTCGTCTCTCTCGCTCATAAACTCTCACTGTTACTTTACTCAAAAGGAAAAGTTCAACAAAAATGAAGCAAAATTGCCGTTCAGAGCAGAGCTGGAGGCTTTGTGAGTTAGCGTAGCTTAGCATAAAGACTGGAAAGAATGAGAGAAATGAAAGTGAAAGTGGTATTTTCTCAGTTTGGTTTTGATTGAGCAATAAAAGTTTTACTGCCTGTGTGTCGATTGGTTTAATCTTACTTCTTATTCTCTCCAACACCGTTTCAGTAACGTTAGCAAACAAAGACGGACGACGTGGAGGACGAGGAGGAGGAGAAAGAAGCGTTTGCAGCCTAAAAGGAATTGTTTTCTTTAAGCAAACAGAAATCGTCTGGCTGCTTCTGTTCTAATCGAGCCGCCTCAACACGCCAGTGAAAACACACGGCTTCCTTCAAGGCGACGCCGTCACGCGCCGTCACGCGCCGGCCTTCACCGGGTCGCCTCGCTCGTAAACAAGACGCGGGAACGTCGGCTATCAGAGCGGCTCGGATCCACCACAAGGCTGATAAAAATCACGCCGTTAAAGAGAACAGCAGCCTTTTTAATGACAACGGGGACTGTTTAGAGCAGGAAACCGCATTAGCATTAGCATAGCAACATCTTCAACGCCCATGTGATCAAAGCTTCTACTGATGAAACTGGTTCCATCGATCGGAATTCAACCCCCGCCCGGTCGCTCATGTTATCGTTAGAGGACACCAGGATCAGCTGTTTCCACTGAGTCCGTCCTCATGTTTACATCCTCATGGTCAACACACGCTGACAACAATTTGCCCAATTGAAGCAAATTCCTGAAGATCTCTCACCGCCAAGGAGGCTTAACCACTAAGCGCCGCCTACAGAGCCGAGGACTCGACCTGCTCCAAACCAGCTCATGGAATCACGTCTCCTTTCCAAAAAGAAAGAACAGGAGCTACAAGAGCTGCTCGACAAGTTCTCACAACTCAGTCTATTTACTTATAACCCAGATTTATTGGTTGCTCGAAATGTTGACCTCTAGGCCCTGAACTTTAGTAGCAGTCCCAGTCAATGACCTTCATGTAAACCAGTCAATGACCTTCGTGTGAACAAGTCAATGACCTTCATGTAAACTAACCAACGACCTTTATGTAAACTAGTCAATGACCTTCATGTAAACCAGTCAATGACCTTCATGTAAACCAGTCAATGACCTTCATGTAAACTAACCTACAACCTTCATGTGAACCAGTCAATGACCTTCATGTAAACCAGTCAATGACCTTCATGTAAACTAACCTACAACCTTCATGTGAACCAGTCAATGACCTTCGTGTAAACTAACCTACAACCTTCATGTGAACCAGTCAATGACCTTCGTGTAAACTAACCTACAACCTTCATGTGAACCAGTCAATGACCTTCATGTAAACTAACCTACAACCTTCATGTGAACCAGTCAATGACCTTCGTGTGAACAAGTCAATGACCTTCATGTAAACTAACCAACGACCTTTATGTAAACTAGTCAATGACCTTCATGTAAACTAACCAACGACCTTTATGTAAACTAACCAACGACCTTCATGTAAACTAACCAACGACCTTCATATGAACCAGTCAATGACCTTCATGTAAACCAGTCAATGACCTTCATGTAAACTAACCAACGACCTTCATGTAAACTAACCAACGACCTTCGTATGAACAAGTCAATGACCTTCATGTAAACCAGTCAATGACCTTCATGTAAACCAGTCAATGAGCTTCACTGGGAATTCAGTCTTTTCTCTCCAAAGAATTGGGTGAAATCTGACTCTGGAACTCACGCAGGACGACGATGAAGCTCTGATTGTCCAGAAGGAGCCACAGTCCAAAGCCCATGATGACGCCACCGCACAGCTGGAGGACACACACACACACACACACACGAGCTCAATGTTAGCCATAAACGAGGCTCCTGACATTTCACCCACAGCCTGTATGATTTATTCCCTCAGTAAACATGACTTTATAGTCTCAACCTATAGTTTAAAGTTATAAAGAAATAGTGGAGAAATCTTTACAAAACAAAAAAAAGGTGCATTTCTCTACTTTAGTGTCTCGTCATTTTTATTAAACTGTAAATACTCACAAAGAAGATGAGATTGAAGAGGAACAGGAAGTACTTGGTCGCTGTCATGCAGCCTTTCCCCATGATGGCGGATCTGTAAACAGTCACTATTAAGTATATATATATATAAAATAATACACATATATATAATACACATATACACTTTATATTATACAATTAACACAAGCAGAGTGCAGGCCAAGTCCTCCCGTATGGCAGCATGGGGGGGATTGTGTATCTGGATGTGTTTTTTTGGGGGGGGGGGTTGATGTGAACAAGTGGTGACAGACGCTTACAGAAGCACAGACCTCGGGGGCTAAGCTGCCCCGGCTGATCAAGTAGGGGGCAAATCCTCCAGGATTAATCACAACCTCAATCGGGGGGCGGAGAGGGGAGGCCGGACCCTCTGTGCTGTGCTCCATCGTCACAGCTTCACAGGAGACCAATTCATCCGTTACCTCCCCACGTCTCGGCTCCACAGTAGTTATCATGTTATATTCTAGACAAACCATAGTTAAATGACTACTTTCGTAGTTTATATTTTACTCTAAATAATTTATTTAAGGGACAGATTTTAGAAATATAACAAATGTAGCAGCAAAATGTAGAATTTTTTTAACGTAAACGTAACAAATACGTTTTGAATAAATGATTCAAAAGCCGATAAATCACATGAAAGAAAAAGAAAAGGAGCCACAAAAAAGCCAAATTAGTCCAAAGTCCAAATTATACGAATATGATTTGTAAAACTACAGAATAAACGTGAATTAAATACTACTTTTCAGCCACTATGTTGGTAAATAAGCAAGGTGTCAGTCTTCGTCAAGGTGAGTAGTGGGCGGAGCCAATTCTCCAGTTGGAAAAGCGCCATCGCAGACGTAAAGAGCATCTGAGACATGAACGTTTCACACCTTCAATAAAAGTGCATTTAATGATGAAAAGTAGAGCGATAGCAGTTGACGTGGTTAGCGTGTTCTTGGCTAGCTGCAGTAGTCCAACGATTGTCATGTTGTTTTGGGTGTTTAAATAGGATGTATTAACTTATGCTTTGAATCGCCGAAGCTTTAAGGCCTCCCCAGAGGTCTGAATCCCAGAGGCTGTGAACAGATTTATGCACTTGTGGTTGCAAAAATAATAATAATAATAATAATAATAATAATAATACAGTTCCTTAAACAAAAGCTTAAACGGAGCCACGTCGTGGCGCAGCTGCAGAACGAACAGAACGCTTTAGGGCGGGCCTTGATGTGATTGACAGTAGAGAATACAGGTGAAAGACACTTTTCACACCTGGAGAACCAAACACAAGCTGCTGTGTGTGATCACTTCGTCCACTGGTCGTCTGTGGAGGCGAGAGGGCAACACAAGCGGCTCTTTTACGAATTCTAAACACCCCAATACCATTTATTTACATTTTTTTGGAAAAGAAGGAAAACCCACAAAAGATGAACTCCTCCTCCTTCCAGTAACTCCCTTGAACTTTAAATATTAAAAAATACGCACTCATTTTTCCCGTATCACTTCTACCCTGGTGAAACACAAACCCTCCCCCTCCTGCGCCTCGTCCCCCCCGGAGGCTCTGGTTGTGCCGGGCACCAACAGCTCACCGCCTCCTGATGCCAACGAGGCCAAACTGAAGCACTCACATAAGAGACACTTTCTCTTTCAGTTTCACGATGACGTCACACGCAGAAGGTGTCAAGTAACAAAGTACAAACACTTACCTCGTTGCCTTTTTAATACGGTTACCAGCGAAGGTATGAATAGTAAGTAAATAGCTGCCTTTAGGCACAAAATGGTATTAGTCACCAAACGTTGTGTATCACATTCAGTGGTGTAGAGAGAAACAGCACTGCAGATCTCATCCAATCACATCGCCCATGACTCCCACCTGAACTGTCCGGTTGGGAACCATCACATTGTCCCAAACTGAGGCTGGTGTGGTTCCGGTACCGATCACACCGGTTTCTCGCCACTAGTGATGTGTCGTTCGTGAACGAATCCTTACAAGGACTCGAGAGTAACGAGTCCCCTCAAACAAACGACTCGTTCGTTTTCTCGTGGCCTTTATCGGGACCTGCAGAGGCTCAATGAACGAATCACTGACCCGAAGACACGGTCGGGAGTAGTTATTATTTTAATGCAGGAATATATCTTACCCCCCCCCCGCAACGAATGTCTCAATATAAAGATTTGCTCATTTTACTGAACGAGATTCAAAGAACCGAGTCGGTGAAATGATCTGATCACTGAAGCTTCTTTTCAGCAAGCGGCAGATTTTAGCTGAATTCGCCATCGAGCTGCGGTCCGCGGTTGGAGCTACTTGTCTTGTGTGTGTTGATATTGAGTCACGGTTCTAAGTTTTATAACGACAATGAATAACACACAACAAACACTCTTTAACGGGGTAAAACACCACGACACAACAGCTTGTGACACATAAACAATTTGTAACACTAAAAATTGTACATTTATTACAAAAAACACCCCGCCTGCACTGCATGCTGGGTAGAACTCACGTGTTGCTACATGAAAACACGGGAAACAGCGAGAGACCAGAGACGCGCAAACGCAACTTGTGCCCAACAGACGAGCAGAGTCTGGTTTTGGTTTTGGAAAAATCAGCCGTAAATTACGTTAGATCGGAAAACAATTTATTGCCGTCTGTCGAGCCTCTGGTGACAACACCAGCAGCCACAACGAGCTAACACGCTAAGAAGCTAACGAGCTAACGCGCTAACTCGCCGTGGGCCAGCTGTGAGTGCGCGCGCAGTGATCCGGATCCTCGGGTCAACGTGAACAGCTTGTTCTGGATTTCATCGACTCGTATTAGAAAAGTCTGAAACGGGTCATTTGGCCAATGTTTTGGTGACCGACCGCTGCCGGTTCAGTGCTTCCATCATTATAACCCCCCTTACATTACTTTAAGTAGTTTTAAAACCAGTACTTTTATACTGAGTCGATACAGAAGTCTCTTTAAACCCTGATATCTGTACTTCTACTTGAGTAATGAATGTGAATACTTGACACCTTTGTGACTAATGTCAAAAAACACATTTAGCTCAGTGGGAAATACAATATTTAAAGGGAAATGTGCCGGACTTTTATTTTGTGGTCTTCCCTTGCTGTTCATTTCAGCAGAATCTACTTAAACATTATGAGACGATGAACAAAGGTGTTCAAATATAAAAAAAAAAAAAACTTGTTCCTCGCTTTTAACATCTCCGTTCATTTGCAACGTATCTGGGAATTAGCTTAGCTTAGCATAAAGCAAGGTGCAATGTGGACGTTCTAGATGTTCAATGTCTATAAACGAGAAAACGGCGCTCAGTGGTGAGCATGTCGTTTTGTCCAAACCCTGAAAAATATTCACAGTATTTCACAGGAAATGTCATAAAGGTAAAACCCCCCCGACGCCACAACAAAACCCTTCAATTTTCTCTCTGGTAACAAAGAGGAGAAACTGGACCCGCTGGGAGGCGACTTGCTTCCCACAATAAAAGCAAAACTTTCCCCTCAGCGAGACCCTTTGTTCTCCAGAGACCCCGTCGCCGTGACGACGCCTCAAAAACACCTTATCATCACCTCAGAGAACCTCGGAGAACTCTCACCACTGCGGATCTATTTGACCTCTAAAACTGACCTCTGAATTTGCGTTTCCAACTGGCAGATATTTAACAACGCAGAGCGTGAAGCGTGTGAACAGAAACCGCTTGTTTTCACCCCTGAAACTCATCGCTGGGATCATGGAAACATCCGTCAGGGAAACGTCCGCGTCCCGATGTGGCGGCTGAGCTTGTTTCACTTTTTTAATATTGATTTTTAATGAATTGTGTCTATGGAATACATAATGTATATAAACGTATGTGGCTCTCTGGGATGTGACTATGATCATGAACATTAAATTGAACCCAGTGTGTGTGTGTGTGTGTGCGTCTCAGACCTTACTAAACCTTGTTATCGCCCTCGGGGCGACTCTCCCCACCCGGGTGGATGGGTGACGAGCTCGCTGCGACTTCGAGGCGTCTGCTGTGACTCAGAATGAAGACAAACCGGTCTTTGAATGCGATTGAAAACATTGTCGTCATCGCCAGCAGGGAGGGCGGTCGGGTTGGGGGGGGGGGGGGGGGGAAGGCGGGGCTTATGGACTGATTTTACCCCCCCCCAAAAACCCACATTTCCATTTAAAATGGTGGGCACTCCAAAACATGAAACTGCGTGTGTCCCTTGAAACGTTTCACTCTGGTCTGAAAAGGGTCCATCATTTTGTCCCGGCTGTTGTTATTTATCCATAAAGCGTTTGCTCTTCATACGGAGGTCAGAGTTCAGAGGAAGAACCATTGAGGAACCGAGGTCACGCCCACAACGAAAGATGTAAGAAACGATGAATGTTTGCATGTTGCGTTTTGTTGGTATGTTTAGATATTTATACGTTTGTATTTTTGTACATTTGTAGCAAACGAAGGAATCGACCAATCGCATTGTGTCAAACTGATACTCGGCTCCTCCCACTTCCACGCTAGCTTTCACGATGTCGGACATTGTGTCTCGGTGGGCGTCATTCATGTGAGTGGGATCCACCGATGGGCTGTGAACGGGTGAATGATGACATGGTGTCTAAAAGCTTCACAAGGAAATTAACATTAACTGGGAAACAAATCCACTAAATTCAGACGATGATCGGATCGGATTGATCGGATCGATCGGATCCCGGTCCTCTGCCTGCGTTAATCTATCACAACCTCAGCAGAAACGTTGCGACTTTTCAAAATTTGCATCGCTGCCAAAGCGAATGGTTTAGATGAGAGAATAAGAAACAGCAAACACAAGCAGGAGATTAAGAAATACTACTTTTAATGAACCTTTTGGGGTTTTTGAACAATGTGGGACAGAGAAAAATAAAAATGAAATTAAAAAAAATCTCTGGAACACAAAGCGGCTGAAGGCCTGTTTAGGTATATTTGGGTCTTTATTATGCAACAAATGGTTTTAGAGCAAATGTTTATACATTTTCTTACAAACCTGATTTGTTTGCAATGCAAGAAATTCTCTCAAAACAGTTTTTTAGACAATTATACCTTAAAACCCGGCGTGTAATTATGTTGTGCACACGTTGTTCTGTTTCATTTGCTGAAACGTGGATCCGTTTCTCTGCTGCCCGCAGATGTTTAACACGGTTCAGTTCCCCTGAACAGGGAACTAAACCACAATCACGCCTCTTTCCTTCGACTCAAACGTTGGATTGTTTTATGAACTCTGAAATTTAAAAAAAAGCCCAAGAATGTCCTGTGGTGGAGGTGGAGGAGCAGAAGGAACCCCGCTGCGTGTGGACACGTCGATAAGAAAGAACACAATAAACCCGTTAAACCTTTGGTCAACTAACATCTTGATTTCTACCAACATCCAGCAGCCTCAGTTAATGATCTCCGGACGCAGAAACGCCTCCGTTGAACTTCAGAGAAGCTTCAACGTGGAACAGCCGGAAGACTTTAAACGATAAGAGCGACACTGATAAACTGACAGGATTTAAAGCGACAAGTGGGAGTCACATCTGTCAATCATTCTGCCACATCACCAGCGCGCCTCCAACGAGCCGCGGAACCGAGGATCGATCCGACAGCAGATCGCACGAGCCCGCAGCCTCGTGCTCTCACACACACACACACACACACACACACACGGAACCGCCGCGTAACAGGTCGCACAGGTCGGTCAACTCACGTGGTTTCTCTGCGTGGCGCTGCGGAGAGGAGTGCGCGTCCCGTGCGTGTCCGACTGAGAGACCTGCGGCTCAGCGCGACGAAGCCGAGTGAGGAGGGAGGAGTGAGGAGGCAGGAGGGAGGAGGCAGGAGGCTCCTCTCGTCCTCCCCGTGCGGCGGCGCGTCACAACGACTCTAACCCCGCCCCCCTCTGCCCGGCCCCGCCCCCCGCGCGGATCATAACGAGGCGATTCTACATCACAACACGTACTTCAGCGGGTCACGTGTGTGCTTCATGCTGGACAACATGACAAATTCAGTGTGAAAATTGGGAATAAATCAGCATGGTTTGTGTCCGTTAATCCACCCACAGCTTTAGTGATTAAATGATTTATTTTATTGTATTATATCTGCAATTTGGGTGAAATCTATTGGACTAGATTCCTCACATGTCAAATATTTAAATTATCCTTTATCAAATGGCTATGAAGAATTTAATTAAAAATAAACTTTGTCATAGCCATACAATTTGGAAATAAACCAAGTTGTCTATATAGTTTACACATACTGTAATCTGTAGATAACCGCGCCGAGGAGCAGCAGGGTGATGAAGTCAGTAGAAACAGACACACGCCTGTAAACGGCGTTATTCTGCGACAACGAGCTGTGATCGCAGCGCGCAGACACGGGCTCAGCAGGACAGAAGAGTTTCTGTCGTCTTTCAGAAAGACGAGTGACGTCGGGGATTAAGGACACCGTGACCTCAGACTAATTCCCTCACTGGGAGGGGGGGGGGGGCCACGGCGGCCCACAGAGGACCCCATTTATGTCTCCTCTCCCACCGAAAGACGTCACAGTCCAGCACTCAGATCCGTGATTACTTAAGACAAACTAGAGGACGAAGTATTCAGACACTGAAAAGACTCCAGCGCATCAGATAGATGTAGGCATTATACGGCACCAATATTACCTTTACTAAATATTACTACACTAAAGATGTGTTAATGTAGAATAATATTTAAGATCTAGTTGTTGCCTCATTGATCACAGGAAATCAAGGAGTGACGAACGGGCTACTAGAGAAACTGACCAAAGCATGGATTAAAATTTAAAAATTTTATTTAAAAAACTAGTCTAATAGAATCTCCACAGATTGTAGTCAATCTAAAAAAATAAAGTGCAGGTGAATTAAAAACAAAAAACAGGGAAAAGTTGGTCTCATGAGTCTTTGGTCAGAGCGGCCGCCATCGTCTTCACGAGGGACGACGTCAGCTGCGGGACGAGAGCGATCTTCATCAGCTTGCTGCTCGAGTACTTGTTCTTCACGGCCTACGGGACGACACGTCGTTGGAACAAAGACACACAACATAAGCAGGTGGGAGCAGATCGAGAGTCCGTTCCGGATGAAGGGGCACAAACGAGGAAATTGATTTTTCGTGAAACAAGTCATCGTGCGTTCCGCCTACACTTGCCTGGAATTTGGTTTTTCCCTCGTTCACCATCACAATATTTTGGGCGATGTGCTGCATGATTGGCTTCAGGTGGGCCGCGTCATATGTGGAGTAGTGCTGCTGCGTGGGAGACTGACAAGCGGGATCAATATTAAAAAAAACAAAAAAAAAAAACTACACCTTAGAGAGACTGCGTGTTTTGGCGCCGGCGGACTCACCCACGGCAGCTCCTCCAGCAGCAGCTGGGAAAGACACAGCGAGGCGGCGGCGATCTCAGAGGGCCGGTAGTGGACCATGTCGTAGTCCAGGAGAGTCAACTCCATCAGATACTTGGCCAGCGTGTGCCTCTCTACGTCAGACTGAGACAAACATCCAAACCACTGAGAACGAGTTGGAGCGAGGCGAGCATGCGTGCGCGGCCAGCGGCGTGTCAGCATCACTCAGCTTATGACTGTGGGGGAAGTAAAGGGAAGACTCACACCGGCCACCTTGGAGGCCCGACGCAGGAAGTGCAGCGGCAGGGGACGGCCCAGCTCAAAGTTGAGCGTCCTCAGGACCAGCTGCTCCATCTCCAGGACCTGGGCCTTGGTGAAGGCGTTGTCTGTGATGTAGGCGAAGTCCCCGACCTCCGGGGCGTACATCTCCTCGTACTTGCAGGCCACCAGCATGGCGGTGACGCCGACCAGCTGCAGCTTTCTGCGGGAGACCGGCTGGACCTGCGGCACAGCGGGGTGTGGGGGGGGGGTGTTACAGTGCTCGGACAAAGAGGACAGAGCGCCGTGACAGATCTTACTTGGAGAAAACGATCCAGGACAGCGACTGTGAGGTACAGAGTCTCCTGCAGCAGCTGGAACCTGGAGTGGACCTGGACCAGCCAGTCCACCAGAAGAGCCCGCATGCGTCCAGAGATCTCGTAGCCCTGCATGTAGTCGGCGCGAACGGCCTGCTGCACCTGTGCGGAGACGGACATTGTTACACGAAAGCAGGGCGGCGGTTCGATGAGGGAGGGGAGGAATGAATGAAAACCCCCACCTCCAGGACGTGTAGATACTTGTAGATATCCTTGACGTAGTCTGAGCAGAGCTGCGGCAGTTCTGAATCCTGCTCGTCGACGTCCTGCACGGTGAGCAGCACCTCGGAGAAAGCTTGGCACAGCTCCTGCGCCTCCTTCATGGACACGTCGGCCGACTCCTCCGAGGCCGGGGGGGCAGGGCCTGCGCTCCGGACTACTGGAAGCACCACCTGGAGCACCTTGTCCTTCTGGGCGGGTTTGGCTGATGCTTTGGACGGTCCGGTCCTCTGAACAAACAATGCAGATTGTTACGATTTAATAAATAATGTGTACAAAGTTAACACGTCCCTTTTAGTGGAGCCACTTAGAGTAGTGGTAGTTTTAAGCCATTTTTCGGGGTTGAACCCCACGTGGTTTAAAGCGTGCATGGAGGGCAGGTGTAGGCCGCGTGACCAGGTGTGCTTTGGAGGTCATCGGGTCAAACAGACTGCGGGCGGCTCATCGAACTAAACGGTCACCTTCGTGTGGGCCGCTGCTGCGGTGAAGTTGGTGAGCTCTCCGAGAGCAGCTCGCCTCGCACCAGCCGCGGCTTTGCTCATCCTCACGGGGTTCTCTCCGGCCGCAAGCTGCTAAGAGGCGAATAAACACAAGACTCAGATACACCACGAGGGCAGGAAACGAGTCCGCGTAAAGGGTCACTTCGACAGCGTAATACAAGTGCAACAAAGCTAAAGCTCCTGATAACATTAGCTTAGCTAGCATCACAAGCTAACGGCTAGCGGAGCTAAAAACCACGAATAAAAACGGTTAAAAAGCGAGAGACCTCGACTCTACTCACCACGGGACGAACATCGTAGGAAGACATGTTCGGCAGAAACGAGGATTTGTTTCTTTCTTTCTTTCTTTGTAAGCAGCGAGATTTCCAACAAGCTCCGTGAACGGTGAATTCAGCAGGTAAACACTACGAGCACGGGCCGCATTCAAATAGCGCTCCGTCAAATCTGATTGGACGTTGCTCTCAGCAGGAGGGGTTCTGATTGGACGCTGCTCTCAGCAGGAGGGTCCTGATTGGCTGACACATCAACGAGCTCCAAGGTACAGTTCTGATGATGTTTAAATTTTGAGAAATAATAGTTTTAAATATAATGTAGTTCGGTAGTTAAGTACAACTTAGATCATTTAATTATGTAAGGAAAATGCAAATGAACTCGAAATGTTATTCCGTAAAAGTATTGTTTTATGTTCATATTTATTATATTATATTATAACTCCCTCCTGCAGGTCTCCTGCTACCGCCATTTGGCCTCTGCAGCTCATCCAGAATGCAGCAGCTCCACTGGTCTTTAACCTTCCTTAACTTCTCCTTCGCTCTCTTCACTGGTACCGGTAGCTCATCCCAGAATTAAAAACTGTGGGCTCACGTACCGTGCTGGTGATTGGATGGGGTTCAGCTTTACATCCAGGACCTGGTCCAACCCGACATCCCGACCTGCACTCTCCGCTCTGCATGTGATAAACGACTTGTTCCCTCCTCACTGAGAGCAAAACCCTCGACTAGATCTCCACTCTTTGCTGTCCTGCTCCTAAATGGTGGAACGAGCTCTCTGAAGACACCAGGACCACAGAGAGCCTTCACATCTTCAGACTAAAGACACACCTCTTCAGACTCTACCTCCACTAACACACTAACTAACTGCAGCACTTACATTGGACTTATAATGGTTCTTATCTACAGCAAGTTGTACATCGGCTTATTTGATGAAATCACACTTTCTTGTTTCTTGTTCTTCTGGGTTTGTTTCCTTATGGTTGAAATGTTCTTATTGTAAGTCGCGACTAAATTTGAATGTGAAAATAAACAAATGTTGATGTACTATTTTACATTAAGCTACTCAGCAGTATATAAAGTACATTTACTCCCTGCTGTGCAGTGATGAAGACTTTCATTTAGTTAGATTCAGTGGGTTACATTTGGGATGCAAAGCGCTGCTGGAAAACAGGCAGGATAAAATAAGCCCAATGGCTCCTTCATCATCATCATCATCATCATCATCAGCCGGAGCTCAATAGCTCATAATCAACACGCTGTGAGCTGCTGTCAGTCACCTTTATATTGGTAAGAAATTAGTGACCAACTGATTTAGGAAATAACTACATATTAAAACATTTGTCCATATTTTTGTTAAGGACATGAATAATATATATATTAATAACAATCATTTTATATATAATGTATGATTTTAAAGCATTGACATGTTCAGCCAATGGGCTCAGAGCCACAAACGGGAAGTGACGTTTTAACAGACGATTCACTGGGACAGTGAAACATTTTGATTTGAACTAATATCTGTGACAGGAACTTCAACAGCAAATATAGAATCAAAACATCCAGTGGACCTCAGAACAGGCCGGAGAAACAAGAGTCACAAAGAAACTTTATATAGTTTTCAAGTATTCAAAACTGTTAAATAAGTACAAGATGTGTTCACATGATTTACATATCGGACAATATACACAACTGCCCACTTTTAATTCGCTTTGCGTTCCCCGCTACCAACGCAACACGCTAAGATGTCCGCAAACTATTCACATTTGTTTTTCTTGTCTTTTTTTTTTGTCATTTCTCTTTTTAACTTTTTGGATCCATTGGAGATGTTGACAGCTGTCTATTGGACAAAGACCACAGAGACGGACAGCCGGTTTACAGTGCAGGATGAGGCCGTCGGGGGGGGGATGGCGGGATGGGGGGGTCAGAAGGTGATTAGCTGCTGGTGATACGAACAGTACATATTAACACAAAGAGAAGTGGGTAAACATTCAATCTCAGTTGATCCCTTGATTTATTGGACAGTTCACTTATAATCCGCACAACCAAAGACGAAATAATATACAGAAGGACAGACGGGGACTCGTGGAGCGGTCGGTGCGTCGGGGGGGGGATTTGGTCTGAATGTGTCTAAACGCGCTTTGTTAAAGGCACCTAATGCTGTTGGACCATTTTCTAACATTGCGAGTAAAAATCAAAATCAAAGTGCACCTCTAAATAAAAAGACAACTCAAGGAAAAAAAGACAACTTAAATAGGCCGCGACCACAGAGGACGCAGAGTTTGGGGGCCGGTCGGCGTTTTATGTTGCAGACGTCGACCAGAACTCAAAACAAGAGGGTGAGGAAATAAAAGTAGCACCATAGAGGAAAGAAGTACACCAAACTACACGGGAGGACGTTTCAGACGTGACTCCTCCTCCCCACAGTGTCCACATCTGATTGGGTAAAGCCAGGACGAGGGGAGGGAGGAGGAGTGAGACTTCAGGCCGTTCTGTACATTACTTCTCTCGACGTTGCGGTTCGATTGAGCACGGCGTGCCATGTCCCCACCACGCTGCAGTACACCTCCTGCGCTGCTAGGACCTCTGCGGCTTAATTAACATAATTATTTACAGCGCTCACGGGGGCAGACAGACAAACACTAATCGTGCAACTCCATTATATGGTTCATGACACGAATGTGTGGCGACCGCAGGAAAAACCCCAACGCGCCGCAGCTCCACACGCGTGTTGCCGATGCAGAAGTCTGCAGCACGCTAAACACAGAACATTGTGTGTGTGTGTCTTTATATATCTATAAATATAAATACGTCCACATATGAGGCCGTCTGTCTCAGCAGCTTTCTGTGAGGGATGAAGATGATCGTTGCATGATTGGACTCAACAGGGTGATCAACTTACACAGTAAATAATGTTGATAATTGGTGAATTACTGAAATTCAGAGTGGTTCTTTACCAGGGGAACTGCTGGCAAAGTGACGACATGGCACCCGGATCCAAATGACTGACCTCGTAATGCGTCCGGACCAATGGCACCAAAACAAAAGTTACAAAGGAGGAGATCGGAAATCAAAAAGGTCATAAAACCTGCCTATGAGACAGAGGGGAAAGTCACCATACTGTACACTTTCTACAATATCCATGTCAACGATGAATAGAACAAGTGCATTCACTTAAAGGAAGAGTTGAGCTTAAAACAAACGCTTGTTTTACACTTAGGATCAGATCAGAAACCATAACAAGCACCAGTTGACAAGTCGCAGTTCAGATTTAAAATAGTGTTCAGATTAAACGGGTAAGTGTTTGCTTAAATAATGGAATTTGTTTATATAACAACTTGTGATGAACATAAGTGAATAACAGCGTTTCATTTTAAATCAACAGCACCTTCATTCAGAATTATTTTCCTTTTTAAATTACTGTACTTCTTTTACATCAACACAACAGTTGATTCGCTAGTTGTCTTTTATTTACAGGGGCGGTGGGCGGTGGGCGATGGGCGGTGGGGCGATGAGCCCCACAGCTTATGCATTGAGCCTCAGCGACTGATCCTCTCTCCTCCTGGAGGAGATATCGATGTCTATGGAGTCTTTACCTACGATCAGTCGGAGGCGCTTTGCTGGAGGAAGTGGAATGAAATCGTCATCAAACTCATTGTCAAAGTAGTCATCTTCATCGTCGTCGTCGTCGTCATCCTCCTCTTCATCCTCAGACGACGATGACGACGACGACGACGACGACGACGACTGCTCTGCCAGGGCCTTTTGGGTCCGATGTCCCCCGGTCCTGGCCTCCAGACTCTGGCCCATGTCCCCGTTGTAGGACATCTGGGAGGACTGCGAGATCCTGCGCGCATCGTCCTCCCTCTTCAGCTGGATCTTCAGCTTGGCGGAGTTGCCGTGGACAACGGGGGCGAAGCCGTTGTTCAGCTTGGCGATGTACGAGCCGCCTTTGTCCTTGTCGTGGTCCTTGCTGAACTTGATGCTGATCTTGCTGGAGGACGCCGAGTTGACGGCGGAGGCCGAGAGGCCGGAGGAGCCGACGGGCTCGCTGGCGTCGTTGGTCTTGCTGCTGCTGCTGTCCCTCCGCCGGCGGAGCGTCAGCTTGGGGATGCCCGTGTTGTTCTCCAGGATCAGCTGGGCGTCGTATCGCGTGATCTGACGCTTCTTCTTCCCCTTGTCCTGCGAGCGGCAACCGCTCTTGCCCTTGTCCCTGCGCAGCGATTTGGCGCCGCCGGAAACCCCGTTGTAGTCCCGGTGCCGGTCGGCGAAGCTCAGCAGCACGTTGCCGCAGTCGGAGAAGCCGGCGGCGCGGCCGGCGGGCACCGGCGTGAACGGCTCGCCGTACGAGTCCTCGCATTTGATTGTCCGCTCTGTCCGGAGCCGCGTCGGCCGTTTCCGCCTGGAGGACGAGCCTCGCCTGGCGTAGCCGCCGTCCAACGCCGGCTGCTCCAGGCCGACCCCGTGGCGGAGGTACTCCTCCATGTCGGCCGGCTCCGTTTTGATGACCACTCCCCCGGGCACCGGGCTCAAGCCGTCCATGGCGCTGGGCTCCAGCTTAACGCCGGCCGCCGAGCTCAGCGTCTCCTGGGCCTTTACGAGGGTCCGCGTGGACCTGCGAGTCCTGTACGCGGAGCACTGGCTGCCCTCGCTGCCTCGCCTGTGCGGCGCATTGCCGTTTTCCTTGGCGGCGTGCCGGGTGAGGCAGCCCCGCTGGCCCAACGTCTGCTGCATCAGCTCCTGTCCGTCCTTCCCCTTCTTCATGGTGAGGCCTTTACACAGCGACACCTTCGAGTCCCTGAGGCCCAGCTGGCAAGTCTCCCCTTTAGCAGACGCCTTGGGCTCCGCCCCCCTCCTGCGACTCCGCAGCTGGACTTTACTTAGTGAAGGCTTGGATTGGGATTTTAGTATCTTTGGTACCCTGTCATTGTTTACACGACCTTGCTTTGAACATGAGGTAGTAAGGGCTCTGGACAAAGTCTGTCTGGATTGAGTCCTGTTCTTATACTTCAGGCCAGAGGATGATGTTCTTTTTCTGGCAGCTGGTGGGAGAAGATCAAATGTTGCACATTACGTATCGATAACATTTGCAGAAACCCACCTACACGTCTTGCCCGGGTGATCATTGTCTAAGTCAAATTGAGTCAGCGCCTCAACATTAGTCGCGTACGTAAACAGAGAAGGCAACAGAGCACTTCATCCTGAGCCGACTCTTACATTGATGTGTTTTTGGCATTTCCTGAGAGTCTCCGTCGGTGTGGGAGCCCACAGAGTGACTATCTGAGCTCCGGTTTCCTTCCCCCAGCTTCTTCAGCCTGTTGAGACGCTTGTCCGTCTCCCGCAGCCCGTACTTGCTGTTGATCACCGGCACCTCCACAGGCAGCCCTGCTTTGGACTTAAAAGCCCCCATGCCCCGTCTGCGCAAACAAACAATGGATAGTTACCCTTGAGCCCCCATGGTATCAATCAAGGGCACATGTAACGCGTACTGTGTTGCACTCACCGTTCACATGTGTAGCATTCACAGAACTCATTGTTTTCCCCAAAAAAACCATCTCCGTAATAACATGAGATTTCCTCTCCGGGTTCAGTGTCCCTCAAAACCTTCACACAGGCCGTGTCTCGTCCCGTCGACACAAACTACACAAAACAGTAAAACTGTCGTTAAGTTTACAGACCGGGCGGGTGTGTGAGGCATTTATTCATAGCACAGGACACAATTCATTTACAGTCGACCAACTTAAATTGTTATTTATGCTCTTTTCAAAGCCATCAAACTCCTTTGGTAAACAAAGGGTACGTTAACCTTGTTCCTGGTCTACAGTCTCCATTGTTGGTGTTATTGTGAGTCACGCAATAACACAAACGTACCAATGTGGTACCTGACCAGCTGACCAGCTCCCTCTACTGACTACAAGTGGCTCACAGAACGTCTAAGCACCCAAACTTCAAAGAACATACCTTGCAGTTTGGTCGACAATCTGCAAAAAAAAGACAAGACAGACAAAATCAGTATTCTCATTTATATGAACAAATGTGGACTATATGGATTCATAATTCTCACATAAACCCCCCCACAGCTCTTATAGCACCCGATGATTAGTGAGGCTCGACTGGGATGAATGAAAATAATCCGATGTGGCATTTTTGGCAGACAAGAGGAGGAAAGAAACGGCCTTTGACCTCATTAACCTCCTGAACCCCACAACCTGCTGAGGGATTGAAAAGCACCTTCCTTCTTTCAATCGCAGAAACTACACCGTTGATCACCACCAGCAGCTGTAGAAAGAACTAAAGTCTGATGTGAATGCTTCATAGCACGTAGAGACTCCATTTACCCAACATTTGTAACACATTCTTGGACGGATGGATTCCATTGTTTTAGAATTTATGTAAAATAAATTAAAGAAATTCATCTTTTGTTTTTTTTCATGTCATTTATGGCACGATTGCTGTGAAAACACAAGCAGCGCTAGCGTCACGGCGATGACACGTTAGCTAACGGACGCTGGAATAGTCGGCTGAAGTTGCGGCTCCACATCTTACTACCAAAGTTCATTTAATTTGACGAATCATCCTCCTTATAGTTGCTGCACAACGTCAGGTACGGTACAACGTAGGTAACATGTCATTCAGCTGCACCCGTGTAGAGATGTGTCTCCGTATCCCCCTTTTGCTTTCTTGATACATTTTGAGGCCCTGATGCATCCATTGACAGCGCCCACTGTGCCAGATCACCAGAGACAGGGAGGACCAATACCGTGATTGATGAACGCAGCGGGTCCCAGCCAGAGCTGCGCACAGTTCTTGCGTGTCGAGTACATGACGCTGAAGTCATTCTCCCCGTGCCGCAGCAGCATGTTCTCCTCGCTCTCTGAAAGCTCCGCGATGCATCCCACCAGGTACTCGATCTTGTCATTCCTTTTCCTGCAGAACAACACGGGTAGAAAGATTTTTTTTTTACACGGGGCAAGCAAGCTGCATTACCTCACGCCAAATGCAAAAGCTGCTGTGTTGCAACTACTTCCCATAGATCCACCTGTGTGTGAGTGTGCAGGATACGTTTGTGCAGCATGCAGATGGATGCATGTCATGAGGCTAAACACCATTAGCTCATGTTAGCACAACATGCTGACTCGCGGGAGTCAGCCATCAGTGTGTGTGTCGGAGAGGGGGGGGGGGTACCCCTCTGTCATTACAACGGCAATAAAGAGTTTATTAGTGTATTATTGGATAATAAGTTTATTATCCAGTGTGCAGGCTAATGCCATTAATATTGACCATCAATCACTGGCGGACAGTCGTTCAAACAGAGATCGATTGGGACAGTTAAATGCATTAGGAGGGTGAGAGCTGGTGAGAGTAGAGTTCACCAAATCAGGGGTTAAAATCAGCAATCACAGCTGACAGCATGTCCTCACCATTCCTTTGTAGCCACAATTTTCGCCCCGTTTTGCTCGGATGAGTATCGATTACAAGGCAGAATCTCAAACCCGCTGTCTGTGGCAAACATCCGCAGGTACACAAATACCTGTGCAGAACATAGAGTTAGTCATCCGGTTGATTTTGCTGCTGGAAAAAATGATGGCAAGATCTTAGATCAGGTTTTTACATGTTGCTTGAAGAGTTTTTCTTGAGCTTTCGTCTTGTGGAGAAATTGATTTCGCGACCAGTCTCCGGTCGTCAAAGCTCTGAAAGCTTTCTCCAAGTTGTCGTGCTTCTTGAAGCGCTCGATGATCTCTTTCAGCTCTTCCTGTCGTCCCTTAATCGGTCGAAACCTGTGGGGACGTATTAGTGATGTGATACAGATGTGAAAATCAGAAAGAAATAACAACTTTTTGACATATGTCCACAATCCATAGGACTTTTATTCATGACAACCAGCAGCTCCCCTGAGGTCCATCTGCTGACCTGGTGTTCATCTTGTGAGTTTGAAAGCCCAGATAAGGATCCAGGATGAGGCTCGTCGTCAGGTCGTCATTTTCACACAACTCCTTGGCGGTCATTCCCGACGAGGGCACATAGCGCGTCCCCGCCTCCAGACTGGTTGTATTAAACCCTGGAAACGCCGGACACAGACGGGTGTTAGTGGGAGCGTCAGAGGACCAAGCGACGCGTTAGAACATGAAAGTATTTGACTCACTGCGGCTACATCTTCGACTTCTGTTTTTAATGTGGCGCAGGGAGGCCCTCTGGGAGTGCTGGGAGCGGGTCTGGCTCACATGTTGCTCGCTGGTCAACTTGTTTCCGTGTCGTCTGCCATTTAATACCATGTTCTTGGATTCGCCCAGCCACTTCATGCCCACAAGCCCCCTGATCCAGTTGCATTTAGTCTCCGAGATGAACAAACACTCTTGAGTGGGGAAGACTGGGGTTTGAAACCTGAAGGCAAAGGGCGAAAAAAAAGAAAACGCACATTAGTGGAAACCAAGAAATTGAATTTGTTACACAGACTGAAGAAATACAATATGGGACGCTAACGAGCAGCTGGATGTGTTACGAGCTAAAAGACTGCCAAGAAAAAAACTAATAAAATGAATGCCTCTTACTTAATGTATTTCCACGTTCCCCCTTACTAAACACTTTGTTCACTGATGCTGTATTTTCTTTTGTCTTTCCATTTATCTTAATTGGTTTATTGTTAGGCCACTCGAGAATAAACCGGACTCTGACAAACCACTTGGATGAATGTTGAAGTGTGCCTGAGGTGAGCTCCCTGTCAGTCACAGGATCCACCAGTAAAACCAGTAAATAATCAGTCAATTTACCCAGTGGTGAGTACTATTGTTTATATGGTGGTTGAAGCAGTGGTGGAATGTGACCAAGTTCCTTTGCTCAAGCACAGATTTGAGGCGTTTCTACTTAACTTGTTCCTATTTTATACGCATTTGCTTCTCAACACATCTCAGAGGGAAATATTGTATTTTATTTTACTCAGCTGAAATTATTTCAAAGCTTAAATTCCTTTGCTGGTTTTGATTATTAAAATCGATTATTGATTAAAAATATGGACCCAGCTAATACAGTGTGATTTAGCCAAAATATACAAGATTATTACATAAAATACAATTATAAAAAATAAAGTATCAAAAAAGATTATTACAGGAGTACACCTGAGTATGTGTTTTGGTCCTTTCACTGTGAGTAAGTTGTGAGTTCTGCCTGCAGAAAGCAGTGCTGAAGAGTTTTAAACGGGGCTGCAGCGCCCCCCCGAGTCTACCTCAGGTACTGCACCGGGCTGCTGTCAAACGTCGTTGGTGCCACCACGCATAAAGTATTGCTTTGTTGATCTTGAACCACATATGTATATTCAAAAAATCACGATCAGGTGCATAACCTCAACACAACATTGGATATGGACGCCTCGGTCACACGATTAATGTAGTATATAAATGCGCCATTCCGTCGCAATGAGCATCATCTCATTTATAATCGATGCATTAGGGGAAAAAAAAAAGATTCGCAATATTAGCTCAGAAGCTAACGTTAGCCAACAACAAAACCACAACACGCCACGGGGATGAGGAGAGGCAGTGGAAACCCGGAAGGCCACACACGCACGCACACACACCCGCACGACGGCCGAGGCCGAGCGTGTATCACAGTTATCAATCAAGCTTCGCATTGTTTGCTAACTGTCCGATCTCCGCCCATGTACACCGCGTTAGCATTGGAGCTAATCACCGACAAGGCGACGCCGGAGGAGATCCGCTCGGCCGCGGTGGCCGGCTGCGCGTTCGCTTTGCAGCAAATGCCGGCGAATCGCCCGGTTGTGTTAACGTTAGAACACACACAACACAAACGGCCAAACCACCAGTTAACCTGTAATCCGACACAAAGACCGCAACAGAACGGCACAAGCCTGCTGATATTTAACGATGTTACACCATGATACGTTCCACTCCTCAAAAACTACACCGAGCTGCTCCCTGAAGCAAGCTAGCATCCACCTAAGAAAACCATGAGCCTATTTAAACGCGTCCACCTCTATTAAGCGCACACACATTTGTTAATCACATTAATACCGTGTCTTTACTTCTTAGTTTGCGTCAGCAGGCATCAAACTTAACTTCGGTAGGCTAACTTAGCTTCCATCGGCTAGCAGTCAACAACAGACTTCCGAGTATAACAAATCTGCCGTCCCCGTTTCTCTAATGGACAATAATAATGTGTATATAATATTTGACATCCGGCCCCACACACGCCCCGGTACGTTACCTGTAAACCGGCGGACCACAGCGGGCTAACAGCGACAGCTTGGGTGTTCTGGTGTGGAAGCCATTGGCTAGTTAGCTTAGCATGCTATATGTGTCATTTGTGGGGCGAATTAAAAGTTAGTTCTTGTGCCGGTTCCGTATAGACCGCGGATACGGTCCTCGGTGGTCATCAAATCCAGGAGGACGACCAACTACCAACCGCGGGCGACATTTTATCTCGATATCTGGCAGTTAAAAAGCTGAAAGCGTTTACACGCGTTGGGAGCGTTTAAATGTCTGGAGTCGCCAACGGAAGCAGAACACACACACACGATACTCACAAAGGTGATTTTTGTAAAAAACAATCGCGAGATAAAAGTATTTCAAACTAATCCCAATTTGGCACGACACTCCTAAACGAAAGAATATGACAGGAAACAATTTTTTTTTTAAAAAGAAACTAACATTAAAATTCAAGATGGCGGAGAAAGGGAGAGAGAAAGACGCAGCACAGCCGTCCCCGAGAGAAAATAGACCCGGCAAGAAATATATTGTCGCCCGTTGGGACAGAAATGAGAAACAGTAGTCGAAGATTTTAGTCTTAAACTATAGAAGTCAACGCCGTTGTCGACTTTTCGTAGGTTTCTTCAAAAAAGAATAAGGAGAAAAAAGGGTTTTGTTAGTTTTAGCCAGTATTTGTCGGAGGTACACAAAAGTAGTGCTGCATAAACAAACCTCTTTGCGCTTCCTAAAGAATCCGGCGGCCGTGAGAAGACAACAGTGAGGTTCTCCCCCGGTCCACGCAGAACCTCACCAGAACCCACCGGAACAAATGGCCATAGAACCACATATAAACCTGGGATTGGTTCTTCCCCGGTCCAAGCAGAACCTCACTAAAACAAGTCACCTTAGAACCACATATAAACCTGGGATTGGTTCTACCCCGGTCCAAGCAGAACCTCACTAAAACAAGTCACCTTAGAACCACATATAAACCTGGGATTGGTTCTACCCCGGGCCAAGCAGAACCTCACTAAAACAAGTCACCTTAGAACCACATATAAACCTCGGATTGGTTCTACCCCGGTCCAAGCAGAACCTCACTAAAACAAGTCACCTTAGAACCACATATAAACCTCGGATTGGTTCTACCCCGGTCCAAGCAGAACCTCACTAAAACAAGTCACCTTAGAACCACATATAAACCTGGGATTGGTTCTACCCCGGTCCAAGCAGAACCTCACTAAAACAAGTCACCTTAGAACCACATATAAACCTGGGATTGGTTCTGCCCCGGTCCAAGCAGAACCTCACTAAAACAAGTCACCTTAGAACCACGTATAAACCTGGGATTGGTTCTACCCCGGTCCAAGCAGAACCTCACTAAAACAAGTCACCTTAGAACCACATATAAACCTCGGATTGGTTCTACCCCGGTCCAAGCAGAACCTCACTAAAACAAGTCACCTTAGAACCACATATAAACCTGGGATTGGTTCTTCCCGGTCCAAGCAGAACCTCACTAAAACAAGTCACCTTAGAACCACGTATAAACCTGGGAGTATAGTACCGTAAACACATAAACATGTGACATCACACTTGTTTTAAAAATATATCATAGATATAGATAGATATCCCTGCAGCTCTCTAACAGCAGTATCAATATACTTTGAGTTTCATTCAAAGGAGAAAAAATAACTATACAATAATTATAAAAAATATATATTATTTAATTGAATGAATTAAATCAGTTCTTAAAGTTTTAGAATATATGCAACAAAGGGAAAATACAATATTGGCCTTAATGCAGTGCAGTACAAGTATTTAGTAATACTGTTGTAAAGTATGTCAAACATATAACTAAATGTTACATTCAATCACATTTATCCATCCATCCATCTTCAAACCGCTATTCCTGCACAGGGTCACCAATCAACCTGATCCCCAGAGCAGGTCTCTGGACTGTGGGAGGAACCCGGAGAACCCGGAGAGAACCCACACAGACACGTTGAGAACATGCAGGACCTTCTTGCTGTGACAGCGTTAACCACCACGTGCTGCCCCATCGCTAATCAAGTTTTGCATAAATAATTGATACATTTTCCATTTAAAAAAAAAACTTATCACAGTTTGAATGTCCTGCTTTGATACTATGTTTTCTTTTTTCAGTTGAGTGGAAAAATATTGAACTTTGAACACTGATCAACATGTTTTTATCATGTAAGTGCAGACTTTAAGTCCCAGTAACAAGTTTTTTTTTAACATCTTTATTAGCAGAAATGTTTGTTATAAAGATCAACAAAGCGACAACAGCAAAACAGACAAGGTTAACCCCAAAAATCGAAGCGAAACCTCAGATTTCCAGTAAAATATTATAGCTGCTGTTTATTGAGGTATTGTTGCTTTTTTGTGGAGGGCTGAATTTGACATTTGCGACTTTACCTTCTGAACTTGTCTGACGGATAAAAACAGCACATACGAATAAAAGGAAAAACGCTTGCTCTTGGTGGGCGTTGTGAAATTCGTCTTTTCTTCGCATAGCATCGCTCCACGGAGAGCTTCACTACGCGTGGGAGGCCCCTCTCGGCGCGTGTTGGGAAGACAGTAACCATGGGAACCACCTAAATACCCCTGACCTCCTCCACTGGGTTTGTGGTGAAGGTGTGAGCCGAGTCGGAAGCCTGGGTTTGGTTTTTAATACTCATCCGTGCACTGCAAATAATGTGTGACGAGACCAGTGGGAGTATTATCCCTTCAGCTGACTTCATCTTTAGTTACAAATGTGTAATTATTTAACTTGCTTTTAACTTTCTACCACGACAGCTGGTCACTTTAATCAAATATTTATAGACAATGAGCAACAACAGTGTAGCAAATATGTTCAGATTCTAGCCTGTTGATGAGACAAAACAAGTGGACCTGAAGATTCACTTTTTAGTATTTTCTGAAAATATTCTGCGACATTTCATTGAGAAAATCATCCTTTATAAACCCTGTGCTGCGCCTTTTTCATTTGTTAGCTTCTAATTAGAGTAAAAGATTGTAGCCCCATTAAAACATTTAAAAATTCAGTGTATGGGGTAATCATGTTGCACTTTGTCAAAGTAACCCAAAGACCCAAATTTGTTTTGCACCGTGCTAAGGAGGACCGGCCTTGTGATGCTACACTATCGTACTTATCAGCTGAACGCGTTGTCCTGTAGCAGCTCATTCCGTACTGACTAAAACGAGACAATTTGTCTTTGTTTTGAACAGAAACTATATTGGTGATTCAATTTTTTTTTCATGAAATCATATGTTGTAAACAAAAACTGAATTATGTCTTATTATGCTCCAATCCCTTAAAGGCGAGTTCAAAAACGATACACTCAACACCAAACCATAGACAAACACAAAATTGCAATTAGATATTTATTTACTAATAACTATTACCTTTTTGGTTTGGTTTGGTTTTTCTATTAAGGATTAAAGGCACCATGTAATTTGGTATTATGCAGAATATGAATCATAATGTTGCTCTTATCATTGCCAACCACTGAGCCTCTGCTAGAAGTGGATTCATAACAGACTTATGAGAATCAGATAAGCAGAACTTCTTCTTTCATTTGACATGTATTTATTCAGTTTGAGCCACACGAGGGAGCCTGAATGTTGATATTTTTCTGATTATTTATCATTTAGGTGATTCAACCGCATTTATTGCTGTTATTTATAAAATGTTCAATATATTTTCAATTACACATCACATCAATTTAAGATTAATATAATAAGGTTATGCATAAATGTCCTCTTGTCACACTTAATAGATGAAGCTTGTTGTGAATTATGACGCAAAGGTTTGTGATTTTTGTGGGTCCCTGTTGTGTATTCTGGGAGGAATGGAACTGTTCCAGTTGGTTTTGGAAAGGGCGATGTCTCAATATGGCAAAACTGATAACTGTCTATTGTGTTTCAAAACATATTGTTATCAATGAACTCACTCACAGCTAACAGTTAAACATCAATGAGTTTCAATTATACAAGTACAGCTTGAATGATACGTCTAATAAATGATTAGAGAATTGGCAACTATTCTGATACTTTTATTCATAAAATGTTTTTTCCCGCTATTTTAATTGAGAAAGAAATCAGCAAACTTGTGTCCAATAGAAATATATATTATGAATCCGTCAAATATTAGTTCAGTATACCGTATATGCAGTATCTATAACAGTATGAATTACACTGTTATACCTACTGCATATACAGTAGCCTCAATTAATGCACATTACATGCATAACTAATGATAATTTACTGTGTATAAAGGGACGTAGTTATATGTAGATTTGCGTCATAGTTATTCACCTTTTCGATTAAGGGCTTATTCAAGTATTTTAGTATAGTAGTTGTACTTTTACTTTGTAGTATGTCTGAATTCGTCCTCCACCACTCTATGCAGGCCTCATTTTACTAACATTCAACGCGGTTTGTTCTTTTTTCGCCCCGTTCTGTTCAGTGGTTTTTGTCGCTGTTTACTCACGCAGCAGCGTGACCTGACGCGTGCGTCACGTGGAAACGTAACGTAGTGACGTACACGTCAGGGTCAGAGTTGAAACCGAGAAGGAGGAGGGCTCGTGCTTGGACTGTTCGCGGGAAACGTCCCAAAACAAAACGGCGCGACCCATTTCTCACACACTTAAAACCAATCAATGCGTCAAGCTAATCGATCAGATCGATAGGAGCGTCTGTTTCGGACGCGGAACTAGAGCAGCCAAATACTAACGGCACTACCAAACTGAGAGGGCGACTGACATTTACTAGCTAAGCTACTTGAGGTAGCCTCAAGCTAACACAACAGGGCTAATCTGTTAGCCGTGAGAGGCAACGGTTGTCCCTGACGCGAGGCTACAGTTAGCGGCTTGAAGGACTCGGTTACCGGGACAGAAATGGCGGAAAGACCCGAAGACCTGAACCTTCCCAACGCGGTGATCACCCGCATCATCAAGGAGGCGGTGAGTGGGAAGCGACGGAGAAGAAGTAAAAGTATCAATACTGCGGTGTACAAGTTAAAGTATTTATTTATTCACCGCTCTACTTAACGTTAAGCAAAACCATCACGCTAATTATACAGTGTTAAAATACACAATATGAATGTACAGTAAGTAAGTATGAAACGAAATGTACCAAAATGACTAACGTTGGTTAAAAATGTAATTAAGTAACGTTCATCTTTTGTTGTGAAAGTACTGGATACTACATTCAAGTACACTACTCATTATTCAGATCCATTTCCACATTATATTATTGGATTAAAATGATTGATGCTAAAATAGAATCATGATTTTAATGTTTCAGCAGGTCGAGATAATTTAACTGATTAATTATTAACTGCCGGGTGGCTTAATCTATAATACATCATCATTTATTGCTTGATTTATGCGTTATTAATAATTTAACGCATAAAGTCAAGAAAAACTGCGTGTATTTAATTAGTATCATATATTCTGTGATCTACTTAAATGTTCATGTTAATGGTGGAAAGTAGCTTTGTTTTTTTAAGAGTTCCTATTTTATTTTCTTAACCCTGTTATGCAAGAGAATGTTGTTATCGTCCCTGAATGAATATATCTTTCTTCTTCCCCTCGGTCTGTGTTTTCTGGTATAGTGAATAAAGTGTGTGTGTGTGTGTGTGTGTGTATATATGTATATATATATATATATATATATATATATATATATATATATATTGCTGCAGCTCAACTCCTCCGCACTGTTTTCCTAACAGCTCCCAGATGGGGTGAACGTGTCGAAAGAAGCCAGGAGAGCCATTTCCCAAGCTGCCAGCGTGTTTGTGTTGTACGCGACGTCCTGGTAAGAATAAAAGGTCTAACGTTTGATTCTTGATTCACAAAAGTAGTTGAAACAGGTGTTAACGTGGACTTTAGAACCTTTCAGAGGGGCCGTGTTGTCAGCTTTAAGACCCGCGTATCATTTGTGGAATGTTTTCATCATGCCACTAATTCACTAACGTCTTTGTTTTCTGTTTCTTTTTATTTTTCAGTTCCAACAACTTTGCTATGAAAGCCAAACGGAAAACTCTCAACGCGGGCGACGTGTTGGCTGCGATGGAGGAAATGGAGTTTGAGAGATTCTTGGAGCCGCTCCGAGAAGCTCTGGAAGGTCAGTGCAGCCGTTTTCAAGACGTCTCTTACAAAATAAGTGTTACACTTTGATTGATTTTAACCTCCTATGTACCATAAGACACATTTTTATAGGGGTACTTTTTTAGTAGTTTGATATCTTCCTTCTAAATGTTTCAGGTCCGACAATATGAGATTTCAGTTGTTACTTTCATTTTTTTTTTTTAATTTAATTAGTAGTGTTTTCCCCTCAGGTGTGACCACAGGACTTGTGTCCGTAAGCTGTAAAACAAATCTGCATTTCCAGACAAACCACAATGCTGACGATCCAGATGTTAATGTTGGTTTGTGTTCCTCCTCAGTCTACAAGAAGGGCCAGAAGGGAAAGAAGGAAGTGTCGGAGCAGAAACGCAAGGATAAAGAGAAGAAAGCCGACTCTGAGAACGACAAGAGCAGGGAGGAGGAAGAGGAGGACGAGGAGGAGCGCATGGAGGAGGAGCCTGAAGCCGAGAACGAGGCGGAGGAGGACGAGGAGGAGGAAGAGGAGGAGGTGGAGAACTGATGGAAGAGAGGACGCCCACGCATGATGAAATGCACCCCTTCCCCCTCAAGGGATGCTCGGTCATCAGAATGAGCTGGGGGAGGGGGGGGGGGAACATAAATAACTTCTATGTGCAGCTGCTGTCAATCAAACCTCAAGTCCAACTACACTTGTCTTTGATCTTTTGTACATATCTTTTGATAAAAACTGTTGACAAACATTAGTTGGCAGAGTTTCTCTGGAAGGAGGAACGTCGCTGAGACTGTTTCACCGCGTCCAGTTGAGATGACCTTCAAACGGTACCAGTTAGAAACACAAAGCGTCTTTGGTCCAACCACAAGTGGGCTCACAGCAGACATTAAAATGAGTCTCCAACGGCGCCGCCAGGTCGGATCGCGCGTCTCCGCTCTCAATGCAAATCGAGCCAAACGTCGCCCGACTCTGCAAAGGCCAGACGTGTCGCTTCGACGTGGAGGCGTTTAGTCTGCCAGAAATAAACGCTGGTAGAATCTCAATGTGGCTTTATGAACGACGGGATGCAAGAAAATATGTAATTTTGTCTTGTCCTCATTGGGACACATTTTTATGGTCTTAAATTTTAATTTAGAGAACCCATTTCAAAACCAGTTTTTTTACTGGTTTACTGGCCAAACTTAAGTTTGTAGGTTTTGGAATCAGTTACTTTTGTAGAATTGCACATGGCAGATTTCCAATAAATATTTTGTACCAAAACCAAACCCACTTCTCCTGGTTCAGGTTTACGGAATGAGATTTTAAGGGAACTTGTGCTTTATTAAAATTCAAGGTCTGCATTGGGTAAATCATTTGAAAGACTGAAGATTAGAGCCATGGTGGGGAAGTTTAACTCACTTTCTGCCTTTAGTCAAAACGCCCCCGGATAATGAAGTGAATCTAGAGGTCAAGTACAGGAAAACAGTATTCAAATTCTTAAGTCTCCAGATTTTCTACTGGGAGCCGCATTTAACATTGAGGTCATTTTAAGTTTTACATTATATTGCAGACTACTTCCGTCTGAACTAGAACACTACAAACTCCTCAACATAATCCAACAGTATCGGTTTGTATGGTTTCCATAACAAGGATTCAAAAGAAGTTCATGGTTCAGTTTGTGAACATTTGATTTTTATTGTTCAATTACGGCCTACTCAGATGGACATTCAACTTTTCCACTGTTGATGTCATCGATGACATCATGGGGAGGACGCCCATCGACGGTGCAGCCAACGGACTGAGCGGTGCCGAGAATCTCCTTGATGGTTCCTGAGGGAGGAAGATGCAACAATCAGAGGCTGCAGATTGTTTTTGGACAGAAAAGTCAAACTAATGAGCCCGTAGAAACGTTTAACACTTTAAGGGGATTTGTTCCAGACTTTACGGCACAGAGTTGTCCACTGGTTTTTCGGGCAGACCTGTTTCCTAAAGCCGGGTCAATCTGAGCCTCCACTGGATTATACTCAGTCACTAGACAGACAGGCATAGTGGCGGGAGGCTGGACAGAAATTCTGATTGATGAAGCCTTTGTTATTACCGGAGAGCTCTCTGGCGATGGAGCGAGCCCTCATTGTGCGAGCGACTGTCACAATTTCGTCGAAGGTCACGCTTCCGCTGTGCTTGACTGGAAAAACAAATTAAGACTCGTTAGAAACTAGGCGACCCAGTTCAGCCTCCATTAAATCATTTTCACGGAAGGCCGCAGCGAACTTACTGTTCTTGACCTTCTTCCTGTCGCGGGGCGGCTCCTTCAGCGCCTTGATGATCAGAGCGGACGCAGAGGGAACGACGTCGACCTTCAAAAGAACAGGAACTCATTACCACGGCGAGTCAGTCTGCAGAGACGAGGCATTAACAGGGAAACGGGGGCCAGGTCGTACCACTGCCTGTCTGTTCTGGATGGTCAACCTCACGGTGATCCTCAGGCCCTTCCAGTCTCCGGTGGCCTTGGCAATGTCGTCACCAACTTTCTTGGGAGACTGATGAGGAAAAGAACCGTAGATCAGCAGACGTAAACAGAACTAGGATCTAAAGACAGGTGGAGTCAGACATTTTCTATAAAATATAAAAGAGCAAGTTGGGGTTAAGGCAAGTTGTTTTATCATAGTTTCAACTGACAAAGGATAATAACGAATGGGAGACTGAGATTTGTTCCAGACTTTACGGCACAGAGTTGTCCATTGGTTTTTCGGGCAGACCTGTTTCCTAAAGTTGGGTCAATCTGAGCCTCCACTGGATTATACTCAGTCACTACAGACAGGCATAGTGGCGGGAGGCTGGTGGGAGTTTTAGATTAGGATCAAGCAAATATTTTAGTTTCACTCACCAAACCCAGAGGTCCGATTTTGGGGGCCAGGGCGGAGGTGGCACCAACTTCTCCTCCTGTGCATCTCATGTACACTGCAAGAAGAAGAGTCACCTGAGCACGACTAACAGATGGTTCCACAGATTGTGAACCACTTTCATTGACAGCTCCACGTGGAGCACCGCTATGAAGTTTACTGACTGGGGTTGGATTAGCACTTATTACACTTTACATATGCACATACTCTGCACTTTTTGCTATTTTGCACTCTGGTTGGATGTTAAACTGCATGTCGTTGACTCAGACTTGTACCCTGTGCAATGACAATAAAGTTGAATCTAATCCAATTCCAAGACAATTATTTAATTCAAGAATGTCAGGTTTTAACAATGAAAATCAAAACAGTGCACAATATCACGTGGGCTTCCTTTGTCTAGTTTACTCATATTTCAACTGAAAGCAATTGTAGTTTAATGAGCAAGAGGATTGTGTTTATGAAGATAATCCAATTTATAAGTAAAGTATGTCAATGCTTTTAAACATCCATTGATAGCGGGGGATTATAACCGGTCTATAAAGAAGAATAAAACTAGATGTCTGCATGACTGAGGTGCTTCGTCCCATCCACGATGCTAGCTAAACTAGCCAACTGAGCTAGCACTCGTCCCACGTGTTCGTCCAAAGACACCGAATTCTTAATCAAACCCGCCACAAATTCACAAAAATCCCACCAGCTGAAAACATGTAGACATGCAGAAAACGAACAAACATCTTTCCTTCTTTTCTCCGTCGTCTCTATCGGACGCATTTCTTTACCGTTTTCTCTACGCCGTTAGCGGGCCGCCAGCCGGCACAGAGCGACTCCATCTTGGCTGTGAAACAGCTCCTGCCTATATTACCCAGTTGACAGAGAAAACATACCAATCTTAACCTCGTTGGGGTCGAATTTGGGAGGCATGTTGCCGCTGTGGAGGTTGAGCTCAGTTCAGCTTGGTTGGTGAGGGTGTCGGATGAACCCGGGTTCGGGACGACCGATTTACTGTTGCACCTTCACCGCTAAGAGGGAGAAAGAAAGATCGAGCTATGGCCGTGGGGGGCATTTATAGGTGCCTCAAATATCGCGAGATTCTGAAGTCCCGGTCACATGACATTGGTCCAACCAACGGGCGGTTTTACTTCTTCAGACATTTACATGTATTGTCATGGAGGAAGTCTTGTGATCCTTTGAGGTGCTTCTTGTACTAGAGTGTTTGTATACTTTTACTCCACTACTTTCATCTGAGGGCTTTACTTTTTGCCCTAAAAACACATTTTTTATCAAATATGAGTTTTTCTTTCATAAATCAGGAATCAGGAAACATTTATTGCCAAAATATGTCATACAGTAAGTAATTTGACTTGACGGTTGGTGCGTGACAGTAGACAGTGTAACAATAGACAACAAGACAGCAGTGCACAAGTAATAAAATTAAATTAAAAAAATGAAACTATAAAGTTTATTCAAGCACAGCTCAAATAAGTATTATATTAGTCACCTTAATTTGCTCGTTTTTAAACTATTTATAATGTTTCACTCAATTATCCACGTAAAAACACTACATTCTTCCAACTTCCCAAATGTGATTTTTGGTTTCATTGCAGGGCGAGTACATCTAAAGCGTGGCACCAGTACTTTGGCTCCAGGGTTGTGAATAACTCCACCACTGGAATCGCTGCAGGTGCTGGTCATGTGTCAAGGCCGCTTTCAGCTGAATCATCTCCCGGCCTGTTGTTCAGTTGCATGTACAACCAGTGTTTTCCTGTTTGAGTCCTGGAGGACTGTAAATTTATTTATTTATTTTTATTTGACTCAGAGCCGCTCTACAGGAATAGCAGCAGAACACAAGAGGGAGTAAGTGGGTGAGAAGCAGAGATCATCACTGTTGTGCTGTTTAATATGCATCACGAAAATCTGTCAGAAATTCACAGCTCACATTATGAAAGGAAACCTTCATCTGTAGCTTCAGAAAATCCTCAACATTCAGTGGCAATGTCACATCTGCAACAGCTCTTTTTATGTTGGAAATCAACAAAACGTGTTTAATTTTGCCTTTGACTGTTGTTATTTATTTTAATTCAATTAGGATCTGTTACCTCCCGTCATTTCTCAGTGTTTTTGTTTCAGGGTTCTCTATGATTAATGACAGCGATGGAGAAAATGAGGAAAAAGGAAAGATAAAAAGTTTTGTCTCTGTCTGCCAGAGGAGCATAATGAATAATAGTGATTTATTGTGTGGTCGCTGACTATTTCTATTTCTAACAGTGGTGATACATTATGCCAGTGGCAGCAGCAATGGATCACGGACATTCCCATCACGAATAACCCCTCTAATGCTAATTATTTAGGGATTTCTAACGTGTGAACGGCCGCTTCGAAACATCTTCAGTTCAGTCAATGTGACGTTAAACACCAACACGAGACAAGAAGGACTCCAGTCTCCTGCTTGCAGTTACTGATGCTGGTCCATATCCACCGTTCTGCGTGTGCATGTGAGGATGTGTGTTCAGGCTACAACACAATGTGGACGTTTAGGTGCCAGCTGGTATTCCTGCATAAACAAACTGTGAGTCCTGAAGCGAGAACCATGGAAGCCATTGTTGACAATCGTGCACGCACACGCACACGCATTCACACGGACGCACACGCATTCACACGCACAACGTCCGACAGCTCATTTGTTAAACTCAGGGGGAATGATTTGATTTCAGCAGAGTTGCTCTCTCTCCATCTCTTCTTGATACTTGACCTTTTCCTTGCATTTTCCAATTAGCAGCACTTCTCCTTCTCCTTCTTCTCCTTCTCCTTCTTCTCCTTCTTCTCCTTCTTCTCCGCTGTACAATTTCCTTTATTGATTTTTAGAGTCCCAGGGGAACGGAGGCTGAATACCTTGTGACTGGGGAGGGGATTGTCTTTGGATTCCTGTCCCTCGGGTTTTGTTATTATTGATGAATAAGTACGTGGGAGGAAGCTGGTTCGGACTCATGATTGGGTTTGAAAGAAGTACTTTAATCGTCTCTTCGTTTGAGGCAGACTCCAGGGGTGATGGAAGAAGGAATCAGATCATTAACTTAGAGGTAAACTGGGGATAAATCACAGTTAAAGTACAGCGTTGCTGCTTTTAAACACTTGGCTTGTGAAAGTACTAAAGTACCAGCAGCAAAACACACTTAAAGCACAAGATGTAAAAGTGCTCATGATGCATAATGGGTCATTTCAGAGTGATGTCATTGGCTTGTAATTATTGATGCATGTTCATCACGTTAACGGAGGAGAAAATGTAATTACTTTACACGCCGAAGAGTCGTTTGTGACTTTCACCAAGGGATGAATGACAATAATTCTAATGAAGATAAACAAACAACTCTTACAGATGAGCGATAGAAAAGCATCTGAGTGGAAACGTTTCAAACTGACACTCGGGTGTGTTTTCAGGAGCAGCCCCTTGTTCTCAGGAATCACCAGTGACCCGGCTCGGTTCATCTCTGACAGCTCGGGGAAGTTTCAAATCCCAGCGCAGCCAGAAGATGACCTTTATCCCATCATGCATCTCCCCTGCAGAGATCCCAGTGTCGCCCAGTGCAGCGGTGACAATACTTACGAAAAAGTCCTTTTCTTCAATCAATGAACATACGTAACCATATTTGAGTATTTTTAGCAAACTGTCAATCAGTGTGTAGTCCCGCCCTAAAGCATAGCTTTTAATCCGTCTGTTTGACTCTAAATGCACCTTCATTTATTACCAAATGAACGTCATCCTTTAGATAAGAGGACTTAAAACTAGGGATTGAGACCATAAACTGATGTTTACAATGTTTACTGAGAGAAAAGTCATTTTCTCATGGACTCCTATAGGAACCAAGGACGCATCGGCCAAAAGTTGCCGCCTCATTAGAGCGTAGACAGTCCACGTAAATAAAGAACATCTCAAGGCCTCATCTGCAAACTCTTCTCAAAGCACTTTGCTATCGGCTGAAGTGTGACGACGTCATTTTCATTTTCTGTAGCATTTAATCATGGAGCAATTAGCAAGATCGCTAGCTAGCCAGCCGGCTTGCTAGCTAATTCCACCGCGCGGTGATGCCGCACTGGTCACGGGAAAAGATTTGTTTGTTGTTGTCGTGAACTTTTAGCAACGTTTAAGGGGCAACCGTTGTTTTCAGCAGGATGCACTCCGTTCAAGTCGGCTCGTCGATATCTGTAAGAGGATTAATCCGATTTCTCTCGGTGGGTTCCCTCCCTGGCTGCACGGAGACGGGCTCAGACAGAACCTGCAGCCCTACCGGGGCTCAGGTCCACACGCCACTTTTAATCAAACACAGTTTGAAGGTCTGGTGGAGACTTGGTTTGAGGTCGGGGTGATTTTGCTGAGTTATCAGCTGCGCCGGTCCCCGGTGATTCAGCACATATTGAGAGCAGAATAATTCCCCGTGGGAGTTTGGTTTAATTTCTCGCGTGGGAGCACTGATGCACGCTGACCCCACTGCGCTATCAGGAAATTAAGCTGCAAAGAAAGAGGCTTACGGTTTATAAAAAAAGATGAAACGAAAGGCCGGCTGAAGTGTTCTTCATCCGTGGCTCCGCGAGGAGACGGAGCCACGGATTAAATGAGGCACAAGGACCGAAGCAAAGGGTTTGGGTTTTAGTGGACGAGACGCAGCTTGAGGCAGTTTATCACTGTGAAGAGTGAAGGTCGAGGTAAAATATGAATATATACATATATATATATATATATACATATATATATATATAGTGGTGGGCCGTGGATTTTCTCCCTGAGCTTTCTGTGCCGTCTTACAATAACTGAGGTTATTAATTATTAACCCACAGCTACAGGTTGTTTTCTGCTTTGTGTAAACACCTCATATTCACGTAACACTGTAACATTTAAAGTGGAAACGATATTAATAAAAAGACACAAAAAATAAACTCACACAGGCGTGACGGCGTTGGTGTGTAGCGTTGGGTGTGTGAAGCACCTGACGGAGCAATCGGGTGATCAATACGCAATAAAACACCCCAGAAGTAATTGATTGAAGCCAAAGCACCAGAGGCTGTGTTCACTTTGCACACAGATCACACACCGAAATCAGTGAGAGCTCCTTGTGCGTCCCAGCATGCTCTCTGGTTTTCCTCCGCATCCCTCCCACTCGTGGATTATCACGTAATCCCTGGTACTCATCAACTCCGGAGGTCAGAGGTCATTCTATGAGAGCACCGCTGGATTAAATGCGTTGTTCTTGTTTGTGGGGGTCAAGGAGGAGCACGAATGCAACACGAAGGAATCTTTGATAATCGTCCTCCTTTTACATCAAACGCACCGCGGTAAGTGAACGCATCACCGCTCAAACGCGCTCCGGTGGGCTCCTCAGTCATCGCTGTTTAAACGCCCCGTGGCGTGCGACACTTCTCATACTTTATACTTTTACTTAAGAAGGCTTTTGAATTCCGGACGGAAGAACATTTTCCATGTGTAAAGATGTAAGCAGCCGTCGGAACGAGATGTAGTAAAGTGTCTTGCGCTCTGATTCATCCGAATCTGAGGCACTCGTGTCAAGGCCCAATCAGTTACCACGGAAACGCCGTAGCGATTATTCAAACAGTCAACACAGCCAGACGCCAGGAAACAAACACGCCGCCAACAAAGTCCACGAAACACGAGACCCCAGACATTTATTTAACAGAGGTCAACGCCGGCGGAGCGAGGACGCCGGTTATCGGACCCGAAGAAGCCACCTGCTTCTTCTAAACAGTGATACAAATCATGCATGACATAATACTGCGTGTGCGTGTGTGTGTGTGTGTGTGTGTGTGTGTGTGTGTGTGTGTGTGTGTGTGTGTGTGTGCGCGTGAGGCTCTCACACATGTTGCATCCTCTGTTCCTTGTTATTAATCCTCTCTGCCGTTGGATATTTGCACACCGGGTTCAGCTGCATTCAAGCGAAAGCTTCACCGCGTCCGGATCGAGTGCAGACTGCACTGTAAACAACAACAACAACAACCACAACAAGTCTCTGCTCGGTCCAGTTGTTGTCCCCCTAGCGGGTCCATGGCTGTGACACACGCCGCGGGGCGTCTGTTCGTTTTGTCCCTTTTATTAAATAAATCTAATTAAGTCAAACAGGTCGCAGCGTAACAACGTGGACCATGAGACCAGAATCCAGACCTGGTTTGGGTTTGGATTTGGGACCTGATTCAGGACTTGATTTGAGACTTGAGACTCAAGACCTGAGACTTACTTTAGACTTACCTGTGACGTTAATCAATAACTTGATCAATAATAATCAATAACTTGATTAAGTCCTTCAAATTGAACTGCAAGATGATACTTCCTGTGCTTAAACCTAAGCTCATTAAAATACATGAGTACTACTTCTGTCCTACTACTTGGGCAAAGTAAAAAAGTACTTCTTAATTCATTTACATGTAAAAGTAACGACTTCCTCTGTGAGTCTGTGATGCAACGGCGTTTTTTACAGTGTAGAAGGAAGAGCGGCGACTGAGAGGAGGAGGAGCAGGAGGAGGAGTAGGGGGAAGAGGGGGAGGAGCAGGAGGGGGGAGGAGGAGGAGGGGGAGGAGTAGGAGGAGGAGGAATAGGAGGAGGAGGGGGGGGGAGGGGGAGGAATAGGAGGAGGAGCAACAGGAGGAGGAAGAGGGGGAAGAGTCCCAAATCAAGTCCTGAATCAGGAGGTGGAGGAGGAGGACCAGGAGGAGAAGGAGGTGGGGGAGGAGGAGGAGGAGGAGGGGGAGGGGGAGGAGGAGGAGGGGGGTGGGAGGAGTGGGAGGAGGGGGAGGAGGAACAGGAGGAGGAGGAGGGGTGGGAGGAGTGGGAGGAGGTGGGGGAGGAGGAACAGGGGGAGGAGGGGGAGGAGGAGGAGGAGGAGGAGGGGGAGGAGGAGGAGTTGGGGAGGAGGAGGAGGAGTTGCGGGAGGAGGGGGAGGAGGAGGAGGAGGAGGAGTGGGAGGAGTTGGGGGAGGAGGAGTTGCGGGAGGGGGAGGAGGAGGAGGAGGAGGAGTTGCGGGAGGAGGAGGAGTGGGAGGAGTTGGGGGAGGAGGAGGAGGAGGAGTTGCGGGAGGAGGAGGAGGAGTGGGAGGAGTTGGGGGAGGAGGAGGAGTTGCGGGAGGAGGAGGGGGAGGAGGAGGAGTGGGAGGAGTTGGGGGAGGAGGAGGAGGAGGAGTTGCGGGAGGAGGAGGAGGGGGAGGAGGAGGAGGAGGAGTTGCGGGGGGGGAGGGGGAGGAGGAGGAGGAGGAGGAGGAGGAGGAGGAGTTGCGGGAGGAGGAGGAGGGGGAGGAGGAGGAGGAGGAGTTGCGGGGGGAGGAGGAGGAGGAGGAGTTGCGGGAGGGGGAGGAGGAGGAGGAGGAAGTTGCGGGGGAGGAGGAGGAGGAGGAGGAGTTGCGGGAGGGGGAGGAGGAGGAGGAGGAGGAGGAGGAGTTGCGGGAGGAGGGGGAGGAGGAGGAGGAGGAGGAGGAGGAGGAGGAGGACGGTCCTGCTGTCAGACACAGATGAGAACGCAGCGCCGGTCGGATCATCTGGTTTCTGGTCCTCGGGGAGCGGCGGACCAATGGAAGCGCAGCGGAGAAGAAATAATTGTGTTGTAATTTAATCCGCCGGAGAGGCGACGTGTGCGGAGCCGCGGAACCAGCCCGCAAAGTTCACAGCGGCTCCACAAACTGCGCGACAGTCACAACGATGCAAACAGCAGCGGCGGAACCCGCGAGCCGGAGGAGCGTCTTCAGAGGAGCCGCGGAGCGCGACCAGGTCTGTGTCTGCCGCCCGAAGTCACAAGTCACAGCGGCTCAGCGGCTCGTTCCGCTTCTCTGCCGCCTTTTCAACAACGTTGATATTTAATGTTTGAGGTTTGGGGAGAAAATCACCGGCTGTCACTCAATGGATTCATGTACACTGGAATCAGCGGATTAATCCAAAATGAAAGCGTTAATGAGCTCGACCTCATCAGCGCTGTTACATTAACGAGTGATGATAACCAAAGACGCATTGGGCCTGATAGTTTTGTCCGTTTAAAACTGCAGTTCAGCTGGTATAATTGGGTAAATACATTTGGAAAGTATAATTCTGCGTATTCATATACTCAATGTTAGAAGTCCTGCATGTTTCTGGTGTTATTACTGGTATTAATGTGTAATCAGCATGTGGCTCATTCTGGATTTACTGTTTGGTACTAGTTTATTCAATAGACTGATGACACGTTTAGTGTTTAGACTTTTTATCTGCGACGCCATCCGTCCCTTCGGCCACGTTCAGGGGAGTGGAGGGCCGTCTTTGCCACGTAGCTGCAAAAATATGTCCCAATCAATCTCAAGTACGGGACTCGACTTGAGTGAGTGCACCTGGTTTATTTCCGCCAGTGACCTTCAGCATCTCACCAGGAAGCTTTCAAGGATCCACCTGAGAAATGACGGAAATGTGGAAGAACAATGTTTTTGGGAAGGTCACGGTTGAAGCAGAGCAGTGGTACCGACACACATGGTGGCATCGCGGTGAAACGAAAACACAATAGCAAGGAAAGAATGTAAAACGTTCCTTATGCAATTTCATCGGTTTATAATTCCAAATGGTTCTTGAACATACAAACAGCACACAAGCTGTGCAATGATATGTACTTTGATGAATGCTGCAGATCAAATATCAAAGGGAATTCTCGTCTAAAACGAAACACGAAAAATTGATGGATGAAAGATGAATTAACACGTATGAAAAGGGTTAATTCTTTGGTTGAAAGGGACATTTCAGAATTCAAAGCATCGTCTATTTCTGGGCCCCAGTTTCTGGCCACATTGCAGAAGAAAAGGAAACCTTGGAAGAGTTTTTACTGTTGAGAATCTCTCCTTTGTTCTGTGTTCACAAGCTGGTTTGATGTCAATTGATCACCAAATACTTCGGACAGATATTTCTTTGGCCTCCGACTGAAAAATGTGTTTTTATAAAAATGCACCTGGCCTCCCAGCTCACAAGGATTTTGCACGTTAGATATTTTTTTTTCTCCATGATACAGCTTTTTAAGGATGTCAGCTTGGAACAGAAGTTTTAGTTTCAGGAGCCTCCTCAGACGCCGTTTCCTCTCCGGCTCATTCACACCCGGCGTCACACCGGAGTCGGTGAGAGGTTTTAAGGTCGACAATGTCACAAGAATCAAGGCGTGAATTGGCGTGAAGTCCACTAAGGAGGGTGTCAGGAGCAAAATTGTGTGGGAAGGAAAAAGATGTTTTTAAATTTGTGATTCATTTTACATTGTCATCGTCTTAGTCTTTAGATATTTCATTATTCAATGGGTGTTTGGGAGCTGGAAATCTGCACAGTGATTTAAGTCAGTTCTGGATTCATACACAGAGAGTAGGGGACCCAGTAAGGAGCCTTGAGGCACTCCGCATGCAATGGTGTCTTGGATGAGGTATTGACGTACTGAGACAATTAAAAGGTACTCTTAGTTTTGGACTAGATTGACCTTTTATTTTGATGTGTCGTTACAGCTCCTCTGAGGATCATCCTCCCTCAACTGGATCTACGAATACCTCTTCCATCCCGCTGCCCACCCTGAAGCCAGCATGCCCATCATCAGCAACGCCAACCACGACTTCAGCACCTACTCAATCAGCAGCGACGACAGCAGCCTCGACCGATTCTTCACCGAGATCCCGGAGACCGAGACCATCAAGGGCGTCTACTTCCAGCGCGCCCAGCTGCTCCGTGACCCCAAGGCCTCGTACGCCGTCGACCACGCCCTGCAGGTTCTCATCAATGTCGGGGGCAACCGCTACACCTTCCCCTGGAGCACCTTGGAGCAGTTCCCCCAGAGTCGCCTGGGACGCCTGCGTTTCTGCACCACCCCCGAGGAGATCGCGCGACTCTGCGACGACTACGACGAGACCTGCCAGGAGTACTTCTTCGACCGAAACCCGACGGCGTTCAGGGTCATCCTCAACTTCTTGGCGGCGGGGAAACTGCGTCTGCTCCGGGAGCTGTGCGCCGTGTCGCTGCACGACGAGCTCGACTACTGGGGCGTGGACCCGGGCCACATGGAGCGCTGCTGCCGCCGCCGCATGAACGCCCGCGTGGAGGAGGTGGCCGAGCGGGAGCGCAAGGAGCAGCAGTGGAGGCAGAAAAGGGTGATGCTGAAGAAAAGCACCACGGAGATCAAACAGGGCTACCACAAACTGACCTGGATGCTTCGAGAGGTGGTGGAAAACCCTCAGTCGGGGTTCGCCGCCAAGATGTTCGCCTGCCTCTCGGTGGTCATGGTGCTGGTCACCGTCATCAGCCTGTGCATCAGCACCATGCCAGACCTCAGAGATGAAGAGACCAGGGTGCGTATGAAAGCCTGCATCCTGTTTCACGCACATTAATCAGCACATTAACTCTAGCAGGATAATACGTATTACAGTAAGAAGATAATAAATACAGTAAAGTAAATGCACCGAATCCTAAACGGATCAAATCATGAAGCTGCACTAATCAACATATATATATATATACATACATATATATATGTATATGTATATATATAGATGAGTTCTGCAGGTTGTCTTTCTGCTCGATGTTCACTCCACAGGTTTTTTTTGCCACTTCATTCTCGTCAGTGTCATTTTCAGCCAGACATCAGTGATGGGCACCAAACGACAGACACCCGCTAGGCAGCAACCTTGGTGATGACAGCTGAAGAAGCAGATATTTTTCTCTAGGATTACTGCAGGGTTAAAGCTGAAAGAGAGGGAATGTAAAGCTACAAATTAATGTTCCGGGACGCATTTAACAATTGTAATCCTTCAACGACACAACGGTGAAGGAGGCTTAATAACATCATATATTAGTTTTTTACAGCTTTTTAGAGTCAAAAGTAATAAATCGCAGATAAGAACAAAATACAATCTTTCCTGCAATGAATAAATAAACCATTATAAGAGTCAATTGAATAATAATAGATGAAAACATTATGTCAGTATAAAGAAAGGTAGGATCTCAAAATAACAGCCACCTATTTGCTTAAACGGTAAAATGCACCTAAAAAATGAATACCTCCACGAGGGCATCCACGAGGAAGCTACACAAAATTGTGGACTAATCACTTAAAAAAATGCAACTAGAGCAAAGCGAAAGGCCAAGTGGACTAAGCCGATTGCGGCGAGAGAATCCGGCTTTGGCTCCTCCGGCAGTACGAGAGGCGGCAGGTGGTCCAGCAACCGGCCTCAGGTGCACGTCTGGTGTAGTCAAGGACGCCTTGGAATGAGTTTATGATCTCGAGAACGCGATGTGACCACGGTGTGCTAGTGGAGGGTGGAGAGAATAAAATGCTTCTGTGAAATCGCGGATGTCCGCTGTGGTCCGTGTCGACAGAAGCAGTCGGGCTGCAGGCGGTTAAAATAACTGTCGGTGATCACGCTCCTCAGCGTGGAGTCGCTGGATCGGTTTCCTTTGATGCATGTGCAGTCAATCGCTCTAACCAAGACACGACAAGTAGTCGAAGCACGAACGTGTTCGGTTCAGAAGCTGAGGAGCAAAACACACACTCGTGTTTGTGAAGGGAAGACAAGTCTTATTTTTCATTTCTGGCAACAGGTGCCGTTTTTAGTCTGCGGCCTGGCAGACATCTTCGGTTGAATGTTGGCCGGCTGGTTTGTCTTCACTCATCATCTGTCAAAGAAGGATAATCAGCAAGAAATTGTGGTATTTATTAAATCAATGGCTCCTTGGCTTCAGACAGAAGTAGATTCAAAAACTAACCATTCCTTTATGTCAGATGTTCATTTTTCCCGCTGCGTTTTGGGTTATTGCAGAAAAGAATCTTTCACCATTCAGCAAGATGATATTTTATTCCAAACTTCACTCATGACTGTTCAAGAGAGAAAGCCGCCGGCTGAAGTTAAAAGCCAACCAACCTGTCAATCACATTAAGCCCCGCCCTAAAGCATCCCCTGCTTTATGGTCTGTTTGACTCTAAATGGACCATAATTCACTAAATGAACATCACGTTATATTGAAGAAGACCATAAACTCATGTTTACAATGTTTACTGAGAGAATAAATCAAGAGAAAAGTAGAGTCATTTCCTCATAGACGTCTATGGGAGCAGAGGAGTCGCCCCCTGCTGGTCACTACAGAGAAGAAGAGTCATTTCCTCATAGACGTCTATGGGAGCAGAGGAGTCGCCCCCTGCTGGTCACTACAGAGAAGTAGAGTCATTTCCTCATAGACGTCTATGGGAGCAGAGGAGTCGCCCCCTGCTGGTCACTACAGAGAAGTAGAGTCATTTCCTCATAGACGTCTATGGGAGCAGAGGAGTCGCCCCCTGCTGGTCACTACAGAGAAGTAGAGTCATTTCCTCATAGACGTCTATGGGAGCAGAGGAGTCGCCCCCTGCTGGTCACTACAGAGAAGTAGAGTCATTTCCTCATAGACGTCTATGGGAGCAGAGGAGTCGCCCCCTGCTGGTCACTACAGAGAAGTAGACTCATTTCCTCATAGACGTCTATGGGAGCAGAGGAGTCGTCCCCTGCTGGTCAGGAGATTTTTAAGAGCCTTCTGTATCGGCTATAGATGCTAACTGGTAAAAAACCTCAGTCAGATAAAGCATCAATGATTCTACATTAATGTATTACACTTTCTTACAGCTTTTATTCATGTTGATAAAGTCCTTATTTACATACAGTATACAGAAGTACATTGCAACAGTTGCTAATGCTACGCTAAGGTTAATATCGGTTAGCAAGATTCCACAATTAATAAACCGTCAATATATAAGTGAAAGTTTGATATTCTTTAAAATGGGAAGCATCAGGAGGTCAAGTGTATTATTATACTGTTGGGTTAAGTAAATGTACTTATAATACATATCTTTCTTTAGCTGTGTGGATGTTGATACGTTAGCTTAGAAGCTAAAAGCCAGATATAGATAGAAGCTATCATCATGTTGGTGAGCAGGATGTACAGCCTCATTTCCTCGATATTAGTAGTAAGTAAGTAATTATCTTGCTTCTTGGAGTCATGTTCCCTTTGGAAACACAGCGCACCGATCTTTAGAATAAAATCATTGATTCAGACACTCAATGACACCAGCTCCTTCAGGCTTTCAGAAAACTAAAGATTACGCCGCAGAAAAGTGTCATAACTTCACCGTCATAATTGTTGCGCGCATTTCTTGTTGCTTGTTTTCTGCTGTCATTCATCTGGCTTTTCAAAAATAAATGGAAATGGATTTTCTTTCTTACTTTATTGACCGACCATCCACAAAACAACATGCACTTTCCTTTGTTGACGTTCTGCGGCGGCGGATAAACGTTGCAACTCAATGTACGTGGTGCTCTGTGATTGAGGCGTTTCACCCGGAGGAGACACATGAAGTTTGAATTAAAGTTGGCATCGTGACAATTACTATGCGGAGCGCAGATTGTAATGAGCGACAGTGTTGTTCCTATTTTGACTTTCAGTTATTTAAATTCAAGGCACTTAAAGCTGAAAGTAATTTATCGTCTGAGGTCCCTTTAATTATCGTCAGCAACCAAAATCTCTTCTCAAGGGCGTATTCATACCACATAAAAGGGTAGTATTTATATTTAAATTCAAATTATATAGCAGACGGACAAATTTAACAACATTTTGTTTATTTGGGGGAACTGTCCCTTTAAGTCCACAACCTTCTACTCACTGCTTATTAAACATCCGACTGATTATACTTCATCCTTCATTCTTCTTGGAGGGTCAAAGGCTTAAAATGCATTCTCTCGTATTCATTTTACAAGGCTTTGTATTTCCCAACATTTCCCACAATGCCCTCTGTTTGGGTACCATGTTACCATGGCAACAGAGAACTATGCAGACCTATTACCATTTAGGCCTCTTAACCGGGGTAAGTTATTTTCTCTGAGTCCTCCAGACCCACAGAAGACGTTAAAAATGGCTTAACCACGGCGATTTCCCCCGAGGCCGCCTTTTGAACATGGCGGCGTGACCTTTGACCCTTCTTCTTCTCGTCGCCGCGTGTCCCCGTGTGCGTGTCCGCAGGGCGAGTGCTCCCAGAAGTGCCAGAGCATGTTCGTGGTGGAGTCCATCTGCGTGGCGTGGTTCACTCTGGAGTTCCTGCTGCGCTTCGTCAACGCCCGGAGTAAGCTGGCCTTCGCCCGCGGCCCCCTCAACATCATCGACGCCATCGCCATCCTGCCCTACTACGTGTCCCTGGTCGTGGACGTCAGGGACGGGTCGCGGGACGACGTGGTCGTCGTGGCCGCCGGCAGAGGCTACCTGGACAAGCTGAGCCTGATCCTGCGCCTGCTGCGCGCCCTGCGCATCCTCTACGTGATGCGCCTGGCCCGCCACTCGCTGGGCCTGCAGACGCTGGGGATGACCATGCAGCGCAGCATCAGGGAGTTCGGCCTGCTGCTGCTGTTCGTCTGCGTGGCCGTGACCCTCTTCTCGCCCCTGGTGCACCTGGCGGAGAGCGAGCTGGCGCCGTTCGCTGCCACGCACCCCCAGCACAGCTTCAGCAGCATCCCGGCCTCCTACTGGTGGGCCATCATCTCCATGACCACGGTGGGGTACGGCGACATGGTGCCGCGCAGCATCCCCGGACAGATGGTGGCGCTGACCAGCATCCTGAGCGGCATCCTCATCATGGCGTTCCCCGCCACCTCCATCTTCCACACCTTCTCCCGCTCCTACCAGGAGCTGAAGCAGGAGTACGAGCAGCTGTGGAAGGAGGAGCGGGGCGAGGAGATCGCCGCCGAGTGGGAGGAGAGTCGGTCCAAGGTCGATTTCTCCCCAAACAGGTTCAAGGGAAACGACGGCGGGCTGATCTCAAGCAAGAGACTCCAAACGCCGGTTCCACCGACGGCGTTCTAGCGGCGCTTTCATTCCCCGGTGACGTGTTAGAAAGGGTGAGGACGTACTCGGCCCTGTAGAAGCACATTTAGAGCTATAGACTGTTACAGTGTTATTGTCTGTTTGTGTCCTGGATTCACGCTTTAATACATCAAACTGTGTGACGGCCGTCAGGTTAAACTAAGCTTTCTTTTCAAATCCGCAAATAAAACCTTTACTTACTGAATTCATCTTTTTGTGTAAGAATATACATATTTCATCACACAGCTATGTGCATATTTCTACTAATAATGACACATGTATTGGATATATATGATATAACAACTACTAGTATTGGTAGGAGACACAATGTCTATAATAGGGGCATTGATTAGGCTTTAAGGCAAAGAAGTGTGTTAGCCTGCCTTGCTAACACGTTAGCACCGATTCACACGAGATGTCAGATTTCTGGTTATTTTACAAGCGGTTCCAGCTTGCATCAGCCATCTTTTTCACATTGGGCTGGATTTATTTTTTAATATTTTGATATTGTTTGCAGATTTAATGAGGAATTAGTGAAAAGGTTAAAGGTGGATGAAAATGTGGGAGTGAGACAAAAATACAGAGGAACAAATACAAGCACAAACAACGTCACTTTACCCAAAATGTAACCGTTTGCTTAGTGTTCGTATTTCAATTACACGTCTGAAGAATGCGTTGCTCTTATGGATGTTGAGAGTGTCCTTAAACGCATCGCCATGCTGCACAAGTGATGATGACAGAGTCATAGAGAGACGTTTCACAGCACATGTGTCCCGTCTCGGTCGATGTTTCATTTTAAGTGGATTTGCGTTCCCTGTCTGGAAGGAAGGAGAGTGATTCAAACACCTTCGATATGCTGAGGAGAAGCCGTGTATTTGATGGAGCTTTAATGAGCAGTTCAATGTCATTCGTTTTGCTTGTCTCGCTCTTTTCCCAAACAGGCAAACTGACAATAAACTATTGCTTCTATTTCTAACTGCCGTAGTGTGAGAATGGCTTATTCACAAAGTAATAGTTCTCTCACTGGAGCTCCCGACCATAAAGCACAAGTTCAACTAAAACATCCGACAAGCAGCTTTAAAGCCGTACTCAAGTACTTGAGTAAATGTACTTACTTACATTCCGTCCTCTCTGCCACCTGTTTGCGGTTCCTGTTTTTCCATGTGACAGAATTATTATTTGAATGAAGGCCGTGGCCGGTTTGTCTCGTGATGCTGACAGATGGACAGTTCTTAAAGAGCCTCTTCACTGCTGGCACCATCACTTCCACTCAGACCACAAACAATGGAGACATTATGAATTCACCAACAGGCCCCTGTTATCCGACTCCTCCTCCTTTCTGAGTCTAACATGGCAAAGAATGGAAATACTGAAGGAAAGTACTTCGTTATTGTACTCGAGCAACTTCAACCTGTTGCAGTTACCATTTCCCTTTTTAAATGATATGTTATTCTGTATAAACTTTAAACAGTCACAGAGTCGTTTCCTCGGCCTTCGACTTTATTCCTTCAAAATAAGGAGAGCAGAACATTTAATGGAAAAATAAAGCTTTTATTATGAAAGGGCTTGTACAGTAGCAATAATACATCTTCCTGTTGTCTCTGAAAGTGATAAATCAAAACACAGCAGCTGTTTGCAGAGTGATGAATATTTGACTCACGTCCTCCGTGTTTGACATGTAATAAAAGAAGAAGCTATTTCACATTAGCTCTTAAAATGCGGCTCCCCTCAAACAAAGTGCGTTTTCTGTGTCATCATCACTTTGGTGATTCGGTTGTGTTTTGCTTGTCATCACGATGCACAAAGGAGCGGATCGTCGGTTGGTGTTTGGGATGTGAAATACTAGTAGTGCTAGCCTTAAAATGAGCCAATTGTGTCTTTGCCCATTTTAAGTCAGGATCGATGCAAAACTGCCTCTTCTCAGTTGTGATTCTGCAAGAAACACACATAGTGTACATTGTTAGTAACACACACATAGTGTACCTTGTGTAGTGTACTTGTATTTGTACCTGAAAGTCAGTTAATAATTTATGTTTTCTGCTAATGTTTCGCTAAAAGGAAATATTGTATAACTTATATCTATTAAACATTCCAGTTGAATTTTTCTCCATTTTTTGAGTAAGTTTTTAAGTTTGACTATTTTCTGATTCATGAGATGCCAAAAGGATTTTACAACATTTAGTTACTATTTTATGAACAAAGTGAATATTTTCTTTTTAACCTGACTTTATAAAAAAATAATCAGCTGCAGCTTCTCTCGCTTTTATTTTGTAATATTGCTCTTATCTAAAATTTTACACATTTCTAAAATGTAAATTGAACAGAGTTGAGGTGTGTGCACACTTACATGATGGCTGTGACTGGGCATTCCCTCGAGCTCATCCCGATGTGGATCACCTTGCCTCTGGGAACGTGCACATGACTGGTACTCACACAGCATCCGTTGTTCAGCATCGACGGACCGACCGGCGCTAAAGAAAAGACACAAATTAAGCATTAAAAACGCTTCAGAAGGTTCCGAAGCTTTGCAGAGGAAAGGAGGTACTGACCGGCTGAGAGGCTTCCCAGGACGCAGAGGAGGAGACCGAGAGGCAGCAGAGTCTTCATGTTCAGAGCCTTCGATGTTCTGTGGTGGAGAGCTGCTCTGTGCAGCCTTTATGTGCAGCACAGGTCTCATTGACCTCCATTCATCCCCTGCTGCTTTCTCAGAAACAAGCTGGACTTCCTCGTCTGCTTTCTCTTCTTCTTTTCTGTACGGAGAAAGTATGAAGGAAATTCTGACACGTGGATCAATTCTGCAAAAATCCATTCACAGAATGCAAAGTGTGATTTTACTTTTCAGATCACAGCGGACGAGATATAGAAAAGAAAGAATAGAAAAGTTGTTACAATATGAGTCAATATGTCTTCATGCATTTGGTGACATTTTGTTCTTTACATTAATAACATTCACTCAGAATTGCAGCCAACCATAAACATGTCACAGGTCAGGAACTCTTCAGAGATCAGGGTCTTGTTAGAGGTCAGGGTCTCGTTACAGGTCAGGGTCTTGTTAGAGGTCAGGGTCTCGTTACAGGTCAGGATCTCTTCAGATATCAGGGGTCTTGTTAGAGAACAGTATCTCTTCAGAGATCACGTTCTTGTCAGAGGACAGGGTCACGCTGCCGCTCAGGTTCTCTTCAGAGTCACAAACTTGAGAAGAGAGCCATCTCTACGCACAAGTGGGCCTCACTTCAGCACTAGAGGTTTTTTTAAGCGCAAGGTTCTGGAAAAGGTCAGGGTCTGTTCAGAAATCAGGGTTTCTACAGCTCAGATCCTGCTCCAGTCAGGATTCTTCAGTCACACGGTCTCGTTCAGTTAGAGTCTCCTTCCAGGTCACGATGCTCTCAGATAGCAGCGTCTTGTAGAGGTCAGGATCTCTTCAAAAATGAAGGTCTTGTCGAGGTCAGGTCTCGTTACACGTCAGGATCTCTCAGAGACCACGGTCTTGCGAGACGTGCATGATCTCGTTGCAGGTCAGGGTCTCTTCAGAAATAAGGGTCTTTTTAGAGGTCACGGTCTCGTTACAGGTCAGGGTCTCTTCAGAAATAAGGGTCTTGTTAGAGGTCAGGGTCTCGTTACAGGTCAGGGTCTCTTCAGATATCAGGGTCTTGTTAGAGGTCAGGGTCTGGTCGGTCTGGAACTGAACAAAGAGAGTCTTTCCCGTTGTTCAAGTTGTGGGTTCTGTAGCGTCTGTACGGAGATGAGCTGTACATGTCATGGAAGTCGCGTTGGGAAAAAAAAGGCAGAACTCAAACGCAGAGTTTCTTGAGAAACAAAAGGGATTTTAATAGTCCAAAAAGGTTTTCAAAATCAAAAGGCCAAAAAGGCAAAAATGAAGGCAGGAACCAGGATCGGGAACATGGACATGGACATGGACTTCCAAACAGTTAACAATGACGCGACAAGTGACACAGGAGACACACGGCTTAAATACACTAGGGAGGTGCAGGTGATTGGACACAGGTGGAAACGATCAGACAATCACAGGGGATGACAGGACCAGGCAGGAAGTGAAGTTACCCGGGGAGACAAGAAGCAGAAAACTACAAAATAAGACAGGAAATAAAACCAAACCAAAATCAAACACCGTGACAGTGCATCGTTTTACCAGCAGCCCACCTGCTATCGGCCTGGAAATCAAATTGGTTACAAACCAAAAGTCTTTGAACTGTATTTCATCTCTGTTTGTTACACATTCCCAGAACTATGGAAGCATATTTCAGCGCTAAAGAAAGAATGAAGAGAGAGCTGCTCTGTGGAGCCGTTACATGCAGCCCAGGTCTCCATAGACCTCCAGTCGTCCTCCTCAGCTTCCTCCCGTTCTTTTGTGCTCTGTATGGAGAAAATGGGAAGAAACTACTAAACATGTGGAACAATTGAGAATGTAAGGTTTCATTTGAACTGTGCTTCGTTAGATCACAAAGGAGTTAGAAATGTCTCTGAGCTGCACACAAAACGCTACAACGTGAGTCAATATGTCGTCATACTTTCAGTGGCGTTTTGTTCTTTACCGAATAAAATCGGCAATTACAGAACTGTTTTGGGTAATTAAATATTTAGTCTGAACTGTACTGAACTGTACGTATCTTCCTCTTTAAACGTCTCGTCAGCGTTTCTGAGAACAAACTGAGATCATTTTCACAAAGATAAATTCATTCACAGTAATTATAGTTCATAGTACTTCATGGTTCTGGTCATATGGTGAAAATGATGATCAGGAAATAAATCTCGTGCCATTTTCTCTTTCCTGTAATTTGCAGAAGTAACATTATTAGATTTATGTAAATCTCCGCTCTGTTTAACAAAAGAAAAGAGGAAGATTCATCTGTCTGTTTGGTATAAAGAATACACTTTGACATAAAAAAGGGTGAAGAAGAAGAAAAGAGGTGAAGAAGAGCAGCAGTTTGATTCACTGAGGAAACCCAACGCACAATTTCATTTCACTTAAAGTTACTTGAGTATTTCCAATTTAATTCTGCATTTGATTTAAATATTTACTTTATTGACACAAACACACACAAACGCACACGCACAGACAGGTATTCTCAGTAAAAAGGACATTTTACAGCACAGGATTGCACAGCTTTAGTCCTTTCACACTACACACATGCCAATTTTGTCAGATGAGTCCTATTGAATTTGGGCTTGATGTGATGTGCCGGCTGACGGAGACAAAGACGGAGTCGGCAGCGTCCGCGTGAGGCTGCAGCTGAACGCTTAAACCAGCGTGCTAGCACACAATGCTGATGTCGGTGTGTTAACACGCTCAGCTGAGTACACCTGAGGCCGATGGCGACGCGTTAAAGGGTAGTTAGTGTTAAACTGGACACATTCAAATGAACGAGTAGGTCAAAATAACTACGATTGTACAGGAATGGATGTCAGGATTAAACGTCTCATCCGGCCGCAGCGACATCACCGTAATGTGAGATGGCTAAAATGTGCGTGACCCTTCAAAATGTTTCGCTGAACGAACGAACGAAGCGTTTGCCACGAAAAACAAGAGATACGACGCCAGTGTCCCGGCTGCAGACACAACACGCTGGTTGGAGGCCTCCTGCAGGTATGAGAAGCGCCCGGTTGTGAAGGAGGACGGTTCTTTGCAGTCTACTGAGCCCGGAGCTCTGGAGACCTTTATTCCCTGCAAGGAAATAAACGGAGAAAGACGTATCTGATTCAGAGCCTTTATTCCTATTCAGATTGTCTGTGCAAATTCTTCCACCAAAAGAGCCACACTGCTAGAATATAGTGTATCATTAGTATACTTCAGATACACAAAGTACATTCAGATCAGAATACTTGTACGAGCATTCTGAATGCACCTAGTTTCACTTGAGAAACGTGAAGAGAACATCTCAAAAAAGGTCAAAACGACTGATATTTATCAAGAAGCTGCTGATCTGGCAAATAGTACTAAAATTCAACATATTTCCTCAATGGTTTGACTTCTCTAAGGCGTTTGGGGAAGAATGATGTCCAAGAAATCTGATTCCAGTTAGAAGACCTTCCTGTTTTCATCCTGGGGTTTTCACAGCACGCGAGTTCTGCTTGTTTAATACCGAGCGCAGCTTGTTCGAAGAAAAGCTGCTGCGGAAAGACGAGGAAGTTAAAAGAGGAAAAGAAAATTACTTTCTATTAAAAACGATTTTACAGTCTCGTCATTGGTAATAAATAACTTTGGTAATTAACACCTTGAGCGGCCTGAAAATACCCGTTTTACCAACAGTGGTATCCGGTATTGAGCATAAAGAACACGGGACCGGTTTCATCCTGCTGTGCAAACTCTATTCTATAAATACGTTTATGGTATATTGAGAGTTGAGAATAAAGGACGAGCAAAGGATGATATATTTAGTAATTATAATCAGTGTTAAGACATTAATGTAACAGCAAGTGCAAAGAAGCGCTGTCGCAAATAACAGTTAGTACAAAAGTATTTGCATCAAAATGTACTCAAAATAAAAGTACTCAATTTCAGACTAATAAACATTATATTAGTGGAGAAGGATTAACGTGTTCAAAGTGTAACTCATTTAAAATACTATTTATAGCTTGTTAGTTGATTCATATTCTGTATTGAGAACATGAATCTACACCGTAACTTAACGTTAGGTTACCGTGTGGCAGAAGTTTAAAGCAGCAGGAGATGTATTGTTGCCTCAGTAGTAATAAATGTCATTTTGGATCAGTTCCTCATTCTGACTTCTTAAACATTGACTCATTCATTTCAGTAGAAGTTGAACAAACTAGAATGAGTTTAGTTGTATCTCATGCAGATCAGCAGGGCTGTCGTGGTCCAGGGGAAGAGCTGGGAACAGCAAGGTTGGAGGTTTGAGTCCCAGCTGCCCCATGTCCGTGAGCAAGACACTTGACCCCTAATTGCTCCCCAGGCTGAAACGTAAAAAAGCCTTTGGCTTAAAATGCAATGTAAGTTGTTTTGGATAAAAGCGTCAGCTGAACGACCTGTAATGTAACACTGTGGTTTAATGGGTGACTCACTGCTGCCCCCTGGTGAGCATGTAGAGGCTCGTACTTACAGAACGAGGAATACTTCTCACGCAGTGTTTAAATCCAATGAGCTTCACAGCCTCCTGAGAAATTTAAAATGTACACAAATGGCAATTGTCATTTACTCTTCTCCAGTAACATATATGTTATATGTATATATGTACATGTGTATACATTTAGATGGTTAGACCTCTGTAAAAATCTCCCACGTTTCACCTTTTTTATTCAAAATGACCTTTTCATCAGACCAAATGTCCTTTTCTTAAAGAGGAAGATAAGAGCTAGTTTTGGATTAAATTATTATTCAGTCAGTAGAATTAGAAATAACATAAAAAAGGATAACAGGAAATTATTTGAAAATTGATTTTTTGATAATATGTTTATGAAGAAATGTCTCAAATATATATTTATACCTCACAAATGTACAATTTATGCTGCACACGTATCTCTGTAACACCAATCACTGTTTTGAAAAAATAACAACAACAAAAACACAGCCATATTGAATTTTAGGCTTTTTATTGGTTAGGACATCCTAATTTCATTTCAAATACTTAAATTTAATATTCTTTTTAAATATTGTCTTCAAAGAGGAAAGCATAACTAAAAAGCACTTATTCAATTAAAAAGTCAAAAAATAAAAATATTTAAAGCTCCTTCAAAAAACGATTAAATCACAACAAACAATAATAATAATAATAATAATAATGATAACTGAATTGTAACACACTACACACAGCTGAATCTATGGATACTTTGGGAAGCGGTGCAGCTCGGCCCGGAGCCGACGGGGCGGAGCGCTCCGTCCGCTCAGGTGAGCGCTCCGCCCGTGTCTCCGGTACCTCCATGTCTCTCAATCTCTATGGGGTTTCCCCGCGGCTCCTCCAGGGGCTCCGGGTGAGGGCTGTGATTGGACGAGGGGGGACGGGCGGGGCGCCGGCTCGGGGTTGGCGGCGTCTGGTCTTAAAGGCCGAAGGTGTTCTCCCCGCTGTAGGCCACGTATAAAAAGCCGTCCTCGTCCTTCTCCTTCTCGTACAGCTGCCCCATCGTGATGCTGCGACGCAGAGAGGAGGCCGCCGCGTTATTGATCGCCGTGACCGATCGACCCACAAAGCATCAGTGGCCCTGTGACTGTGTGTGTATATATATATATATATATATATATATATTCATGGCATGTATGTGGCCACTACGACGTCGTTTTTTACTTTGGAATATGGAAACGTGGCACGTCGGGAAACCGACACTTCGTGAATCAGCGGGTTTGATCGCAGAGATTGTCGGCTCGTCACTTCCCACCTGCGCACACGAGGCTTCACGCCGCGGTTCCTCCGCCGGACGCCGCCTGCTTCTCCGCACCGAGGAACAAGTCTAAAGGTTTAAACGCTGTCGGCCTCAGCGAGCGACGGGGCGGGAAGATAAAGACTGAAAACGCCGAGTCATGACTAGCGAGGGAGGAGGGGCGACTTCTCCAACACGTCTGTTTTCACAGCGTTCTCTATGGTTCCATTCGGTCAGAACCACAGTAGACGATCGCTCACCTTTCATCCATTTATTACAACAAACATTAACTTTTCTTTAGCTGCCATCATACAAGGGGAGCGCTTGGACAAGTGAGATTAAAAGTCCCACAGGAAATTAAAAGAGAGAGACTGAAATTGAACAGAGTTCCTGTTGATAAAAGCCATAAACGTGATTTGACTTATTGACTTATCTCGACTTCCTGTTCGGACCACGTAGACTCGTGATGTCGTGATACTCAACTGTCCGGCCAGAAATACCAAATATTCGCTGCTCAAAGCTTCTTACGGGGTTCTTTGTCATTTACGACCTCAAACAAAACACATGTGGGTTTAGAAATATGACGCATATTGTGATTTTACTACCGTGTGACAGTTCATATAATAAAGAAGTAAGTCGCAGCCGAATAGGACTTTACGTTAAATGACGTGAATCTTTCCAATGCGCTCAGCTGGAACGCTTTTTATTGACCGATAATGAGAAGCGTCCCTGACCTGGACTGAGGCACCGTCTTGTCCACAAACAGGAAGATGGCCTTCTCAGAGGGCAGCTGGATGCGTTTCCTGATGATCCACATGAACTGAGCCACTGTGATGTCGGAGGGGACCAGGTACTTCCTCTTGTCGATGTCCACGATCTGTGAGCCCGACACTTTCTCCACAATCACCTGGAGGAGCGCACGCACACGCACACACACACACACACACACACACACACACACACACACGCACGCACACGCACACGTTTGGTTACAGAGCGGCAGGTCGGAATAGACTGAATCTGCAGGTCGTTCACTCACTGGGACCCGGTCAGGGTACTTGTTGCGGATTTTGGCTGATTCTATGCATCGATGTTCTGGAAGGACAAAATGTGGCGTTAATTGATGATTTCACACAGCGACAGAAATACGTCTCGTGTTAAACGTCCTGTTCTGTCCGGACGCGACGGACGAACCACTGATGGACAGAGATCAATATTTACCAGCTGCGCTGCAGAGGATCAAGACACACTGAGACTGAAAACTAAACTAATTTACTAAGTGATTAAATTAAAGTTAAATTCATTCATGCTGCTGAAAGGATCAGTTCCTTAATAACTAGATTATTCAAATGATTTATCAAAGGAATATGTCAAAGAATATAACTGATTGAATGTTCTAAATAGTATCAAATGTATTGATGTTATATCTCATTTTTTATTTAAATGTTTTAGACAGAAACTTATGTTGAGACTAACTTTCCCACCAGGTTCCAACTTGACCTGAATAAAGCACGGCCTCCTTCTCACCGGAAGCAGAGGGGCATTATGGGTAATGTAGTCTCAACACTCTACACTATAATAATAACACTGGAGAGATGCCAACGGTTTAACATTTTAACACTTAACGTCAAGGCTGCAATTTAAAGCGACATTTTATTCCTCAACTAACGTTAAATAATCACATAGATGTAAACTGAGCTCGTTAATAAACATGTAAACTGTGTATTTAAAGTCTGATAAACACCAGCTAACATGTCAACAGGAAGTGCGAGTAGACGTCGTTACAATAACAGAGACGATTTCACAACAACTCAAATGTTTCATCTCAAATAACATTCGTGACGTAATGTTGTTTCAAAGCACTTAAAATGATTCGTCTTCACTTCAGAGTGAAACAGTAATCGATACTTTGACACAAAGGATGTGCGCTGAAAGCCGCCCGCGGGCCCGCGCACTGTCCTCCCGGGACGGACGCGCGTGTCTCTGGTAGAGACAGGAAGACAGAAACGTCCACGCAGATGAAAAAAAGCCTGCGGCCCGATGGAGGCTCCAGCGGCCCGATGGAGGCTCCAGCGGCCGCGGGGGGGGGGACGGGACGCGGCGTCCGGGCAGAGAAACGGGGCTCGTTTTTTCGTCTCGCTGTCGGCTAACGTTAGCTCACAGAGGGCAGGCCGCCCCGTGCACGGACGGGTCCGCCGAACGTTGGACCCCCTCCCCCTCCGCTCTCTGCCCCTTAAACACGCACAAAACGCGGGTTTAACCTGGACGCGTCTCCCGGCGGCGCCTCGCTCACCCACGGAGTGATCCTCTTTGAACATCCATTTCATGGTTCCGGGGGCTCGTTCCTTCGCTCGACGCAGACGGAGGTGGCAGAGAACCCGACGAACGACGCTTTGACCCGAATGCGTGAATTTAAAAATGACCGTTAACGTGGAGGCGAGAGACGGTCACAGCACAGCTGTCTACTCCACAACAACAACAACAACACCAACAAAACAACGAGCTCCTCTCCGCGACTGCTGACTGCTGCCCCGGCGCCGTGACGTCACACTGGGACGGTTTCATCCCGCCGAGGGAGAGAGGGGTGTCAGGAAGGACAGCGCGGGAGACGCTGTCCCCTTTAATACAATTAAATCATTGAAATCAGATACAAATATTGATTCGAGCTAACAAATGCCACATCTACCGTTTGATGTACAAACTTCACGTCGTTTTTGTGACTTCTGATGGTGACTTTGACCTAGTTAACCTGCTAGTTCCATTTGGTTTTTCCCGCTGTGGAGAACATAAACATACCATATCGTACCATATTAAACAGCCGAATGCTGCTATAACAATTAGTTTCATCACAATTTTTCTGATTCTATATATATGTTATGTTAGTATATATAATAATCTACTACAGTATAATATGTATATATACCATATATGAATCACATTTAGCCTTCTGTCTTCAGTATGTTATAAAATGAAAGACGTTTATTCAAATGTTTTTTATTTTAGCTTCAGTTTCCAAACATGAGAGCAGTTCTAGCTGCTGCGGCCCGGTTCCTCCCTTTCTTCAGAAGCAGGCGGGGCTCTGATCTGGTTGTCAGGCGGCAGTGGTTTCCCCAGATGGTGCCCCGTGGTGATGCCGTAGGGCTGCGACTCCCGCTCCTCCCTCACTTCGGGCCGTAGCAGAAACCCGCCCTGAAAGCTGAGGTCAAACAGCTCACAGGGGGCAAAGGTCAAAGGCTTTTCCGCCAGCAGTCCTTTGAGCCGGGCTCGCCACCCGTCGAGCATCATGGTTCGCACGGCGGCCGGACAGTGGGCCGGACCCCAGAATATCTGAGGAGCGAGGACCTGAAATCCGCAGAAGTGCAAAGTGCCGTTCTGAAAAAAAACAACGGACCAATGAGTGAGATGGATCATTGTATTTCGCCAACGACATTAGTTTACAGTTGAGCACAGAACGTGGTATTTACCACAAGTTCGCATGTACTCTCAATTACTGGAGTAAGTTCAACACAACTTCACGTCCCTCGTTATACGAAAGGTGCAGTGTGGGGCTTTGGCGCCATCTATTGGTGAGGTTGCAGATTGCAACCAGCTGAAACTCCCGAGTTCTAAAGGTTGCAAGCCGGTTCCTTCGTGCTGCACTTGTTAAAGAAAAAAGGGACAACAGCGGGCGTCCTCCTAGTCTCTCTAGCAGTTTGGCGTATTATCAGTGCAGCAGCCATGAAGGCGGAGGAGGCTAGCAGGTAACCGGGCAAAATAATTAGCATTGGCAACATTTTGTCGCTGATTTTGTTGCTCGTTAAAGACTCAGATGAAGATTCTCAAATAAATGCTGTATCGCTCCTGTCGAACTTTGGTCCACTACTCCAATTCGTGTTTCCGCTGGTCCTCCGTCTGTCTCTGCCTCCACCTAACAGCGTGACGTAGCAATGACGTCATGGGTCCACGAGCGAGTAAACGCGTCGCTCACCTGCAGAGGCCAGAGCGCGATGTTGATGTCGCCGTTGATTCCATCCGGCTGGAACATTGTCTGTGTGGCTCCGGTAGTGAAAGACAACATCGCTTTCTTATCCTTTACCGGAAAAAATACACTTTTTATTCAGCATAGAGGCTGCAGGATAAACTGTTTTAATGATTTATTATATGTATTCTTAAGGGAAGTTTTAATTTCTGACAAATACTGCACATTAATAAACATCGCAATGGAATTCCTAACTAAGCTTGTTTACTGTATTTGGCCAAAAGAGGGAATTGAAGTGAAGTGTAACCAAATAATTATATTTTGTACATCTTGATCGTCATGTTTTTCATCATTTTTTTCATGTCTGAAACATTATAAATACATTATTCATTTTATGGAGTATGTCGAAAGCAGGACAAATATCATGATAACTTATTCAAATTCTTATCCTCTGTGACACTTTATAGTAATCATAATAAAGAAAGTGTCAATTGATTGATAACATTAATGATACCAAATTTGTAACTCTTTAATCAATTCTGTGAACTAAAGTATCATTTAAAAATATTTGAGCGTTTATTAGTGATGGTAAAAACGTCAGCTCTGTATCGATTAAAGAGACGTTCTATCCAGATGAAAGAGACTGACCTTGAATATTCCATTATTGTACATCTTTTCCAGGGAGAAGGCGAAGCCTTGAGTGAGAACTCGGTCCATCCAGCCCTTCATGATGGCCGGCACACTGAACCAGTACAATGGAAACTACGAGGAGAAACACAAAGTGACGTTTTACTTCTCAAATGTATTGTCTTATCTCCTCCTAATTTTATCCTATCTTCACTTATTTTATAAATGACATCGGTGTAAAGTTTACATTTCTAAACAAAAACACAGACACCAGTCTGGTAGAGACCTGTCAATCACTGTTGGGCCCCGCCCTAAAGCATCCCCTGCTTTAGGGTCTGTTTGACTGTAAATGGACCATAATCTACTAAATGAAGATCATGCTGTATTGAAGTAACTTGGAACTAGAGACAGAGACCACAAACTCACGTTTACTATGTTTAGGGAATAAATCAAGAGAGAAGGAATTTTCCTGTGGGACCAGAGGAGGCGCCTCCTGGTGGTCACTACAGAGAATGCAGCTACTTCAGCATCAACTTCACCATTCAAAATATGAAGTTGCCGCCTGTAGCAACAGTTGCAATGTGAGCGACCTCCGCCCTGGAAGATGATGAGCTCCGCCTCCTCTACTTTGCGCTGCTCGGCTTGGATGTCGTCGCTGAGGCGGCCTTCCATCCAGGCGCACATGGTCTCCTCTCCGTACTGGAACAGCGTTGGATTCCTGAGGTCACCTGAACACATCACAACTCCGTCAGCACGGCAGCCAAACCCACAAAAATACCAAAACGGCGAATGAATCTGCCCACACTTGTGTGTCTGCGTGAGAGACTTATGTTTCCTTTTTCCTTTGCACTTCATTCTCACTAGAGCACCAAATGTGGATTCATCCGCCGTTGAAAGTAGTCCAGCAAATTTAGAGCTTTTATTTGAAGGAAACCCCATAATAACACCAGCTTTATTCTTTCATATGGTTAAAGAGACAACAGCGTGACCCCTCACAGCCAGAAGGCATCATAAATGACCTCTCCGGAGCTCATTCGAATAAAAGAAACAGCGAGGTCACCGATGATGTCGTCCTGCGTGGAGTTGGCTCTGAAGTTCATGGCGTACAGGTCGGACACTAGGACCCTGAAGCCCTGCGCCGCCAGCTCCAGCGTCACCAGGTCACGCACGGCGGCGTTGAAGGAACCCGGACTCTGGTGGGCGTACACGATCAGCGCCGTCTTCTGAGCTGTGTCACACACACACACACACACACGGTAATATATATATATATATATATATATATATATATATATATATATATATATATATATATT